GTTAATATCAGAAATAAAACTCACATATGCACAGGAATAGGTGATGTTAAAACCAGAATTCAAGATTCACTAGTTTTTATTACACAGCCCTCCGCATAGCAACATGATTTTACAAGGTAAAAATAAAATTTTTACTCACGTGATTTTCAAATATGGCGCACCGATTCACCGAGCACCGGACTCGTAGTGCCTAAAGGTACCATTTCGGTAGGCGTGACAGACGACCGCCGACGCGACATACGACTGCCGACGCGACCGAGAAGTGTCGCTTCACGTCTAAAATACATACAATTATATGAAACACATTTCGCACGGCGCGACACGAGAAGTGTCGTCAAGACGACACTTCCTGGAGACACCTCTGAATCTGCCTCGGGGCAAAGGTTTGCTGCGTGTCGCACTCGGGGTCACTGTCCTCGAGCATCGGTTCATTTTGAGGGTGATTAGGATGGAAATTTCTTTCGATCTAGGCAGCGTTGCCAGATTTTGGAACAGTATGGGTAAAAAAAAAACCGTAGATCTGAACAGTGGATTTTAATACAGGGGAAAATAATTATAATTTGCAGTGTAGTAAATAAAAAAACAAGTATATAAGAAACGAAAAATAAACTTTTTTCTACCCAAATTAGAAAGTAAACAAAGAATAAAAACAAATAAATACATTTTTATTATATACTTAACGTACTGGAAAAAACCAATGAAAAATAATAAGTACCTACTTCTTTTAGATCAGTCTGAATCAGATAATTCAAAATCGTAGTGTTTGGCATATGCATGTTCTTTTTATGATGCCCTATTAATTCTTTGTTTCATTTTAAATAAAAACAATGATTATCTTGATGTTTTTTTATGGAGCCAACCTACAATAGTGGCTGTTTATTACGCTGCTTTTACTGCAGAAAATTTACTAGAGAAAATATTCTTTAACCATTTGCTGAAGAATGAGGCAAACTTAATAAATTAAGAACAAAATTTACTAGAGACAAAACACTTCATCTACGTAAAAACAGTAGGTCTGGCAACGCTGATCGTTCCCTCGAATGGTTATTTGCAAGTGTCGCGCGACACTTCTTCAAGCTTCCGAAATGAACGGAGCGCAACATTTATTCATCTGTCGTCCTATTCGATCATGTATTGGAATAGATACACCTTACCTGTGGAAGTAGTGGGTTTAATGCATAGATATATAACCAAGAGAGATAGGATTATTTACAGCAGTATTATAGGACCATTTCTACCACGCGCATCCAAGATATTGGCGTTCCACAGTTCACTGTATTTTCCTCACACCTTTAGTATAAATGATTTGACATAAGGAAACTAACAATAATTATAATTAATGTAGATTCGTGAATTCTAAATAAAACAATTATTATATAAAAGTGTAAAAGGAAATGTAATTTATTTCCCTATTTTCTTCTGTAATATCTTCAATTATTATGTTTAATTTCTATAAATAAACCAACTGGTTAGGTGAAACATTGTGATATAAGATTTTATTTATGTGTCCTATGCGTACACTTTAATATACAAAACACCTGGAACATTCTTTAAATAATTGTGGTCGTAGAAATAATTGTGTACATAACTCGTTTGAAAGTGTATTTTATGCACTTGCCAAATATATTATCCATACAGATTAATCAGACTATTTTTTTACTTAACTTCAGTACATCTCTTACTACTAAAACTATTTTTATCAATGGAAAAAAAGGGCCGTGTTCTCGTATGTTTTGACGCATTTTCGGCCTCAGCCCATCGGATCCCCCCTCTAAATATATATGAATTTTGCTTAGAATTGCTAATCCTACAATTCTCTATTCGTGCTTGCTGACTGGGAAAATAAATACCGAAAATCGTCACTGTCTCCTGGACTATACAATAGATGATGAGAACTTCACAACAAATACACTTTTTTTTATGAATGGCTAGTTGGGGATGTGGTTTAATAATTATCTAGACGAGGAGAGAGGAAAGGTATGGGAAAGGTACACAAACGGAGAACTTGGCAGTGCCGTACCGTATGGAAGGGGTTATATATTGTTAATTAATATAAAATGCTAGATGAAAGCAGATGGACATGATTTTAAAAATATTTTTTTATAGCGTATATTTTTAACTTTCAATGTAAGAATAGTTTTTCACAGTATTGTGATACTACATAGACCATGCATAGGCTTGTCATTTTGTATATTATATATTTTATAGGATTATTAATTTTGTACTTTAAACAATTTGTATACATTTTGAGTAAATATACCTATTATAAAGCTTGACTGATGAAGGAGAAAAGAAAATAGAAAAATATTGTGAAGAACTCGTTTTATATGTGAAGCAAGAATATTATACATATTTCTGACTACATACCTTCCTGTGTGAAATAAAATAAAGACCAATTAAAGCATTTTATTTATCAACCAAAAATAGTTATACACAAATAATACTCTCCCTAATTATGGAGATTAATAAGCTTTATTATTTACAAAGTACTGTAGCAAAATTTTGCCGTACGCAAGTTAGAGGGGACAGAAAAAATAATGGCATTGTGTTTGTTTTCTATTTTAACAATTCTGACAATGCACGAAGTGGTGTGACTAAATTTAAAATGGGTAGCGTCGATTGAAATTTTCTGATATTTTTAAATACCTATAATAAGAATTCCTTATTTAAAATGGTTTTATTTGGATAGATGGCTATTTTTTAAAAATTTAAATGCAAATAAAAACCTACAATAGGTACATTTTATTTAAAATACATGATCGAATGTCATCCTACTGGTCTGTCTCTTGACGCGGCTACCGAAATGGTACCTTAAAACCTGTTGATCCCGTAGAATTTTGCCGCCAACTGCATTCGAGCAGCGTTGCCAGATTTACAGAAAACAATTTTTATGTTAAAACCAGCCTTTCAAATTCCTATAGAAATCATAGCAATCAGCGGGTATAAGATTTATCATGTCCTCTAAATCTTTAATTTTTTTTTGCAATAGTTTTTCCATTTAGCCATAGTAGTTGCACATAGAAATATTGTCGTCTTTCGAACTTTGTCTGGTCTTCTTTTCTTTTTTTTAATATTTTAATTAACTCAGTGAGGGCGTATAGGTTGAAATAAATTCTATATGTCCAAAGTCCGGTAGACTAAAGTGACCATATTGTGAAAAGTAAAAAGCAGGACAAATCGAAAAATTGAAACGAATATTCGAAAAATCGTAAAATTGAAAAATCGAAAACAGTCGATGAAGACGAATTCTATTTTTTGCAGTAGTGTCGGTTTGGTTCATTGAAGAGCAAAAAAAGCGTTACTATAATCGAACAAACCATGACAAAATTGTTTTTAAGCAGACAAAAGCGGACAAAATCGGGACAGATGTTAAGTTAATCGGACAAAAGCGGGACACAATAGGGACAGATGTTAAATCGGGATTAATTGTTTAAAATCGGGGCTGTCCCGCTTAAATCGGGATGGATGGTCACTTTACGGCAGACCCTCGTTCAAGCGGTCGGCCCTCGTTCAGGCAGTGCATGGGCCCTCTTCAGTCAGTTGGCCCTTGAGAACACAGAATACTTACTCTTGAGAATAACAAAATGGAAGAAATTTTAGGAAAAAGGATCAATGTGAAAGTTTACCTTTTTTGCTCTTCAAGGAATCGACCTATGAAAAAAAAAAATGACGGGCCCTTCTCCTTCCTGACCTGTAGGCCCTGGAGTTCCAAATTCGACACTGACAGTAGAGATACACTATCAAAAGTTAAACTTAAATCTGTAAACATGCCTATATAATAAAATAGTCTTCAGTTTTTTCAAAACAATCTTCAATGTATTTTACAAGAAATAAAATATATTGGAAAGGGACCTTTTCTAAATAATTGACAAATTTACCTATTTTCATATTACCAGGGAATATACACCCTCAAATAAATAAAAGACTTTATATTTCTAAACTTCCTTGTATTTGGAAGATATACTCGTAGGATTGGAAGGATCGCTGTAGGAGTATTGAGACTTGAGACTATTTCATTACCACCTTAGCAGCAGAATAAAGAGACACAATAGATACAGTCTGTTCCCTATACTTACGCGGGTTTCGGATTAATTAATTAATTATTTGTAACAAATTTAGTACCTACCCTAATGTTATTTTAATTTAAATCTGACCATTACGGCAATTTTACCTAATTTCTTGGGAAGCGGCTTATTGGCACTGGTTGTCAATGACTAATTTGCATAATTTTGTTAATCCGAAACCCGCGTAAGTATAGCGAACAGACTATATTTTAGGTCGCAGTATATCTGACGCCCCCTAATTAATATAACACATTAAGGGTGATACCACGTGTCCCTAAAATACTATTCCTACCTATAATAGAAGTAGATCCTGATTATCGAGTCCGAATGACGAGTAGTATTATTTAACGATATGCCATTTCCTATAATTACGTTTCCAAGAGTTATATTCATGATATTATTTCTCTGCAAAATAAAAATTTCATAAAATTTGTAAAAATGTATTTTATTTTTTAGTTGTATTGATTACTGCTTCATGGCCTTACCAAATATATTCAATTTTAATTGTTACCACCGATAATTGGATGGCATTTCTGATGTTTTATATGAATTTGTATAATAACTTTTCTGTAATTTCATGCGAGTTTCAGTTCATTGCTTTAGGTTGGATAATGAAGTCAAGATTCGATAAACTGAACGAAGAATTAGAAGAGTTATATAGTAAAGATTATTTAGATAATGGTAGGTATGTGTTTTATATTTTAAACATAATACGGGTAATACTAGAAAATAAATGGCGAATCCGTTAATTTACAATTTTTGACTCATTTTTTTGTAGAGAAATAATAAATAGGTACATTATATCAAAAATATATTAACATAAAATAGAATGACAAGAGTGACCGTTTTCAAATAATATATTTTTTGTTTCATTTTAGAGGAAGCTTCTTTGCTGAAATTATTAATCTCAAAAAAATGCTCCAAAATGCTTACCGAGGCATTTTCGAAACTAAACAAATTACATGGATTTCAGTTAATGATAATTCTTAGCGGTTTGAGTTTGAATGTATTGTTTGGTTTCTATTTCTCAATTTTTGGAGGATTTACGAAGAATTCGAATAAAACGAGCATCAACTTTCAACGTATTTCCAACATAACGAATGAAATATTGTGGAGTTTGTATTATTTGGTCAGATTTGTGTTTATATGTGTTGTTGCTGCAATAGTAACAGAAAAGGTACGTTTTAAAGTCTTTATTAATAAAAAAAACAAAGACATTAGTTTTGTCAAGATATAAAGGTTAGGGTGGCCCAAAATAAGCGAATATTTTATTTTTTTTAGTCCTATGAAAATATGTTAGTTTATCATGTTTTAAGAGCCACCTCCAAAGGAGAGCTCAAAAAAAATGTTTAAAGGGTCGCTCCGAATTTTTAAAAAATTCCAAAATCGTCGAAAACCGGATTTTTTTTGTTTTAAATTTTTTTTCTTATTATTTCATTTTTTTCTATAAGAAAAATCATAAAGATCCTGAAAATTTCAAGTCGAAATTTTAATATTGAAAGGTCACTCAACACTTTTTTTCTCAGGTTCCAAGTCGAGTACCTACTTTATATCTCTTCTAGCTACTTTTGAATATGAATATTAACGAACTTTATATATATTTATTTTCATTATACTTTTTTTTTCGTTTCTCGTGCTTCAATTTCATTCTTTAGTATGTAAAATTGAAGAAAAAAAATATAACCCCATATTTTATGCATTTTAAACTCAGTTCAACCATAAGAATACAAGAACGGATAAAAAAAATTAAGGGTGAATGGGTAAGATAATGACTTTTCCAACAAATTTAAATATTTCACTTTCCCCCTTCGAATATTAATCGAGATATTTTTTTTTGTAAAAATAATTCCTTCAATAGTTACTTAAAGGCATTTTTGTAAACTTTTAGGCAAACACACCAAAAAGGATCATTTGCGATATCTTGGACAAAACAACAACAGATACAGTAAAACAAAAGGTATTTGTATATGGTAGGACTATTTTGTTTATTTTACGAGTGTTGGTTATTGGAGAAAATGAAGCAACAATTTGAATGACCATCAATAGCCTTTAAAAACCGCATGAATAAACCACCTCTGCTAGCGCTAAAGACGTCCTAATATACATATTATAAGGACCACCCCTCGTACATTAGGAAAATGTTATTCTTTATAAATATTTTCATCAGAATTAGTTGATCCTAAAATATTTAATTTTTTTAGCTATGGATTTATTTGTCTTATACGGTAATTAATAAATTACAATTCACTGCTTGTGGCTTTTTTAAAATTAACAAAGCTCTGATAACTTCGGTAAGTACCTTAATAAATGAAGTTCGAAAATTCAATTCAAATAAAATAATTGAAACTTAAAAGTCTAATGAAGGGTATTTAAAGTAAAAACTATACAATTTGAAAAGTGTTAAACTGGTTAGTGGCAGAAATAAAAATTATGTGTAAATTAGTAAACTATTTCATAAAGGTGGTTTTATTATTAAAAAGAGTTGTTTTTGTTTTTTATATTCCGAAACAAATCATAGGAATTACTAAACTGCGGGATACATATTTTATCTTAGTCCAAATTTTTGTACCTATATACTTTTTTTTTCAGGCAGTTTCTATGGGTACTACATACTTAGTCATTTTAGCTCAATTCCAAAAAAAATAAAGTGAAATAAGGAACAAAAATGGAATTTATAGTTTAAGAGCAAACCGAATACCTTGATTTATAATTCCTTCCGAACCTTTATTTTTAGTGCGATTTTTGTAAAATTTTCATGATATATCAATAACAAAACTTAGGGTAGAGAAAACTTGATTTGTTTGAAAACCTTCGAAAAGTATTTATTTTTAAAGTTTTTAAAAGGAATAAAAAAAAATACGCGCCTTTCTGTATTAAATATATGAAAATTTGCTGCTTATTGTTTTAATATTATATGGGAGGATTTCCCACCTTTTTTCTTAAACGTCTCTGTAGAGTTTTGGTTTATCAATACCAATTTAAAGCTCTCTATATTCTCGAGAGACATAATAACGCGAAGTATTCCCAGTGGCGCGCTTATAAATACAATTTTATATCAGAAAATCCTTAAAACATTTTTGAATTCGCGAGAGGTCCGGTTTGCTCTTAATTCTTTTCACTTCATTTATTGAGAGTGACACATAATTTGAGGTGATTATAAACCGAACAGAGGCGCCTGATACTAAAGGCTTTCTTTATAAACTTTCTACAACATACTTGGTTACAGTATTCTGGTTACTGTGGTGACGTTACGCATACCATGGTAACCCTATTATTGAATGTCATATGTCAAATTTAATTTAAGTTAGGAAATTTCTAAACGGAAATTGAATTTAGAAATCTTAGGATGTTTTGATTTTGTTATTTTTTATTATAGTATTGTAACGTTTGTTTAATTTATTTATAGTTTATTTATTTAAAACACTTTATAATTTATTTATACTAATTAATTTATTTACTACTTAGACACTATTATAACTCACAATTCTAATTTATTTATTACAATTTATCTTTCCTATACAGTGCTTAAATTAAAACTTAACTTCTATCGACAAAGTCGCGGCTATTTATATAAAAATGTAACGGCCCAGAAATAATCAATCCTGCTGAAGAATCTCGAAGCGATCGCAAAGTGCTTGCCCTATGCGTCAGCGGCACACCTAGAAGATTCCGGTAATGTTTCGACCATGGGTGGCAGACTTCACGTCGAAGAACAGAGTCGGCTCAGGCGTTCTCACGACAGTATGTTCTATATAGTAAGCTTAGAAATGCCTCGTTAGATGTAGCCAGACATGTTTTGATAAAATGTAAGCAAAGTAACCAAACCTTATAAAAAAATGCTGTGGTTACATAAGTATGTTCTGGTAAGCTTATAAAGAAATGCCTTAAATTAAATTTCTTATCGCTGTCGATCTGACGGTTTATTTTCACTAGCTCGTTTTATAAAAGTAGGTTAGCACAATTTTGAGCATATAGCACATGGTAAGAAAAATATATTTCTTATAAAAAGCACTTGCGATATTAAATAATTGAACAAAACAATACCATATTTAGATATTTTATTTTTTAATTCTGCAGTAAAATATTATAGCTTGCCAATTTTTTTAATAAAAAAAATGTAGTTAATATTTAGAATGTAACTAAACTAGTGGTTAAATAATCATAATTGCATGATTATTGAATTCTCAAGCTTTTAGGTACCGTCATTACGGGCTACTTGAGACAAAACTTTGGAAATTATATTAAATAAATCTGTCAACGTTGCATTTTAAACGACTTTCCGCTCATCAAAATTAATATATAGCAGGGGACCTATTTTCAAAGTATGTGAGCACTCATTTCTCTCAAGATTCTCATCAGAAATATCATACCTCAATGTGGAAACGCTGTATTTAAAGGAATCGAGGATTAAATTTCTTAGGAGAATTTTAATTATCTCTAAATAAACCGAGAGAAACAGTCAGTGAGTTCACACTGGCCCTAAGAGCCCTAAAAATACTGTTTTACGTTGACGTATGACATTTCTCTTGATGGAAATGGATTCTCTCGAGTTTGAAAATAGCCCCCCAGGACATCTGCTAGGATTTGTTTCAGGTACCGTTTTAACTTTTGGTTTGAACAGTCAAGACATTAAGTGATTTTTTGCACATTTTATATTTTACATAATTCATAGAATAGAAACAAAACTCGAAAAACTTTGTAAATTTGTCTTGATTATAGTCGATTATTAAAACTTTTTTACTAAACAAAGTACTTTATTGTGTATCAATTGCGACATAGAAAATTATTTTAACTTTTTTATCTTTTATATTTTAAAAACTGCAAAATGACGAATAGTGCAGATGTCTAGTGTCGTCACCTGACGTTATTTGTAAGGTTTGTTATGTGTTTTTATTAGTGTAACATGGGGAAAATTTTTGATTTTGGCACTTTAAATAGTTACATGAATCCATTGAAAAATAAAAAAAATTGTAAGATGGAAAAATAGTAGTTTGTGCAACAAGAATGGATATGATTTGTCATATCGCACGAAGACAAAGTTTGAGTAAGACGCCGTATGCGTACGAGTAAAAGAGAAAAATATTAATATCAAACAGACTTATAAGCATTAAATATATAATAATAGTAAAAAGAGACAATAAAAGAAATTATTTTAGGTCATTAAGATAAATCACTAATTTTAAAATAATTTATGAATTTTACTAAATTATAAAATAAAATAAACAAAAAGATTTAATTTAATTAGTTCCCAGTCCAGATTCGAACCCGGGCTTTTGCCACTTTAGGAATTTTAGTTTTATTAGGAAATTAGTCCCATCTAGTTTAATTAATTTTTTTTTTTAAATGTGGAACAAATAAAAATAAATATATTATTTATCGATTCTACACAAAAATTACCCATTTTAATGTATATTTAATCTCAATAACTAAAAAATATAATGACAATTAGTTCCGACAGAATTGTCACTTATTTAAAATTTTAAAAATAATAGTAATAATAGTAATAATGTCCAAAATACGAACTGTGATTGGAGGATTTAATTTTTTTGCAGTGTTCTCACTACCTAGATAAGCTAATATCCATGTGGGTGTAGAAAAAATAGTAGTCTGGAGACTAAAATATGAATTGTTATTGAGGTATTTAATTTTTTTGCCATGTTCTTACTAAGTAGAATGGATATGAAATATATTCATTTAGTTGAACACTAATTGCATACTTCTTCATTTTGTAGTCTGTGAGTAGAATAGCTAATATCCATGTGATTGTAGAAAAAAATAATAGTAGTCTGGTGACCAAAATATCAACTGTTATTGGTGGATTTCATTTTTTTGCTGTGTTCTTACTAGGCAGAATGGATATGAAATATATTCGTTTAGGTGAACACAATGGCCTATTTTTTCGTTCTGTAGACTGGGTATAGAATAACCAATATATATGTGGGTGTAGAAAATAAGATTTTTGTGCTTCACTTCCCCAAGTCTCTGATATGTCAGACATAAATATAATGCAGATTATTTGTCGTATCAAGCCAAACTTCATCAAATAAGAAGTTTAGTTTTCTGTTTCCTTCCTACCTATGTATTAGTTGCTTCCGTTTTATTTTATTTTTTTATCAATGATATTATTGATTATTAGATATTTTTTTACCAATTTTGATAGTTGTAGTTTGTTTATTTGACATTACCTGTATTATTTGGAAAATACCTATGATTAAGTTTTTAAGATTACACATGTGTTTAGTGAAATATTCTCAATATATTATGTTGTCTCAAGTAACCCGGAAATATGTATAACTTGAGATAAACATTTTTTTTTTAATTAAATGTAAACTACCTAAGTGAAAATTTATTAAGTCAAATAGTTTCAGAAATATCCATTTGGAAAAGTTCAGAATGTCTCAAGTCACCCGAAATAACGAAATAATCAGTACTAAATGTAGAAATATTTTACTTATTAATTCCTTGTACAAGTTAATAAATATTTGATTATTTTCCAACAAAAAGGAAAAAAAGGTACAGGGGTAATTTTAAAATGGAAAGTGGAGATAATATCGAATACCTGGAAAATGGTTATTTTATTATAAGAATATTTGTATCAAATGGATGAGCTGAAGCATACTTCATTGGATATAAATGATTAGTCCTCTTTTACTAGTAAACTCAAAAATGAAAATATATGATAAATTTCCTCTTTTCCCACTTTTATTCTACATGGCCAGGTAATTTTTGGAAGTAAATTTAATCCCTATATCTAGTATGTTATTTATAGCATTTTTTCTGAATTTCAGGAAATTTTAAACCTGATTCAATATGTTGATGTAATTTAAATTAGAAACAAAACTTTCATACACCTATTTTATTATTATAAGAGTTGTTAAATGGTAAAGATTAAATTATACAATTTAGAAAATTTTATTTTATCCAACACTCAAAATCATTTACCTTAAATACAAAATAAACTTAATATTTATATAGGCTTAATTTTAAAATGTAAACCAATTAAAGAAAATACAAGACATTTTAGATCCTGAACTAAGTAATAAAAACACCTAAGACCTTCTGGATCCTTGGACTGACTCACATCTAATAGAGAACCAGTTTTTGAGGTAGTAAAAGAAATGTGTTCATCTTTGATCACAATCTCAAGTTCTTGCCTTCCAATGCGGTCGGGAGGCGGCCACAATAAGTCGTCTTCCTGCATTATTTCCGAGTCGACAATGATTCTTTTGATTTCTTCCATAACACATTGGTGGACGTAAACTTCTTTTCTGATCATCGTATCGTTTTTATAGTTGGAATTGTTGGCATACCGGAGCTTGCCGTCAGGGCGAAATTCAAACTCCAAAAACTCATGTCCAAACTTACCCTTATGACCAACGTAATATCTAATGTAAAAATCAGCCATTACTATGATAAATTGGACGTTTGGTTTTTTAAGAGGATAAATTAACTGTATAGTTTATAAAATAACTGTAAACATTGATGTCAGTTTCGCTTGGCTTGTTGTTTAGGTTATGTTTTTTGTCTACTTTTTACTTTTTTTATCTGGCCTTTTACTTCATAGTTAACTTGATAATTTTTAATTTATTTTCTTTGACATTAAGGTTGCAGTTCTACAGACACCAAGGATATTTTTATGTACGCTTTATCAGTTTCCGTCTCACTTTAGCTACATTTAAAAAAGTTTTAAGAACCCCACCTCACTCCACAGGGTCCCTTTAATTTGAAAAATATTTCCTGTGATTCATTATTTTTACTTTCCTATCTGTATACAGATAAGGAATAATTTTTTTCGACCTCGAGTTTTCGACGGTTTTTTACGTTTTGAGGTCCCCTGAATCCGTTTTGACTATTTTCACGATGATGTCTGTATCCTCAATAATTCATGAACGGATACAAAGAAAAACACCAAATTTTAAACATAAGCTTTATTCCGGCCTCTAGTGAACTGATTAGATTTTGGGCAGAGTCGGAACATCTGGGGGAGTACTTTATAGGTGGTCATTTTTATATTTTATGGAATATAACCATTATTTACGTTTGGAAAGGAAAATTCTTCAAATATTATCTATAATTTTTGTTCTATACAAAATTTTCCTAAAATGGTCCGTATTCGAGAAATTTGACAAAATGTGCAAAATTCTAATTTTAAAGAAAATTGTTGAACTAAAAGTTGTTTGCGATATTGATCTTTATAATTTTTGTTTTTTACATTTTTCTAAAATGGACCCTAATGGAAAAATTTAAATTTTTCAGTATTTTCGTTTTCAATGAAGATCTATAGAAAAATGTTTCGAGTTAGATGTATGTAGAAAATGTATATATTTCTATATTGTAAAGATTTATAGAGCATTTATAGAGGTGCTGTAATAGGTTGTACAAAATAATCCGAAAAAGCATATAATAACTAGATAGGAAAGTCATGTGTAGGACATCAGATTTTTTGTATTAGGATATTAACAGCTATTTTTTTTTTTAAATAAAACTCGAGAATATTTAATTAATCAATATATTATTTCAAAGTAATAAAAGTATAAAATTGAAATTGCAATAAAAGGCAACTCACAGCACTCAATGACGATTTAAACCTATTGAATAGATTTTTATTTTTCAATAGGTATGGCTTTAACTTTTTCTTTTTGTTCAGTTAAAGCTCTTGATTCATGAACAAAAACTACAAAATTGATTCCCTATAAAATAAAACCAATATATGTACCTAAAAAAATAAGTATTTTAATAAATTACCTGTTGTTTAGCAGCTCTAACAAAACCATCATTGGCAGTTACAGTAACAGCTTGAATCCTATCTCCAAAAGTGAAAATGATGAAAGACCTTTTCTTAATTTTTCCTCCAACTTTGAGAATTTTTTCATCATTATATTGCACTTTATCAAATATGTCTCTAAACTGTTCTCCACTATCTGTACGAGTATTATCAGCATTATCTGGTAATATTATAAGTTTTTTCATTAATTCTTCTGCTCTAATTTTTTCAGTAGGTCCTCCAACTGTTTCAACAATATTTACGAAATTATCTTTTGCAGTTTGACAACAATAAAGAGTTTTTCCATTAAAAAAGGCATCTAAAATAGGTTTTTGTGGCCTTAGCCTTTCCCATTCAGCTTGCTGTTTTAGGACTGGAACATTAAAGTCATATAATTCAGCACTACCATTTGTAACAGAACTGCAATATGCTAACATCGCAGAAACATCTAAGTTTACTTTGTTTATGTTTGCTATGTCTTTTGTGGATAAATCAGACACATTAGAAATTCTGAAATAGGTTGGGTATTCTTCTTCTATATCACTATCTGAATCCAATTCTAAAGGAGTATCATTAACTCTATCACCTTGCACGATAATTCCAAATGATTCTAGTTTAACTGCTATATGACTGCCTACTCCATTGGTAAACACAAAAATTATCTAAAATACAAGTTTTGTTTGTTGGGTATTTAGTTTTAAAAATATTTAATAAAAGCTTTTTTGTTTCCTTTCTAATTTTTGATTTTACTTTTTACTATTTAAAATAAAGAAATTTTTCCCCATGCAATATGACCAACTACTAGGATCATATCTATCTCAGCAAACATTTAAAGTTAAAATAGGAAAGAAATACTGTGAACTCAAGTCAATAAATGCTGGCATCCTACAGGGAAGTGTTCTTCAGCCAGTATTATATTTATTATACACCTGACATTCCAGATATAGAAAATATAAAATTAGCCATATTTGCTGATGATACAGCTGTCTTAACCATAGGATCAACTATAGAAGAAACAACAGCTAATCTACAAAATGAATCAATAACATACAAATCTGGTCTAAACAGTGGTGCACAAAAATTACTGAAGAAAAATCTGATCCCATTAACTTTACCAACAGAAGAATAGATTATATACCAATAAACTTAAATAACAATATTATATCAATATAACAGCAAAATATCTAAATCTGAATTTAAAGACATCCTTGGTATACACAAGAAAATTTTAAAAAATGATAATGGGTTTGTAAGAGTTTCTTTAAAACTTGATGCGAACCGTTTGATAACCAGTGGAACAGTTTAATTCCAAATTATTCGTCGCGTAGAACTATTAAACTGTCCACTGATCAACTAGTCCTCTGATAGTTCTCAATGAATTTTTGAAGAACCCGAAGAGACCTTATATCTCTGCAATTTTTTTCATTTTGACGTAGTGTAAATAAGTATTTTAATATAAAATTGTAATTAATATTAATATATAATCAACAGTTAATTAATTTACTTAGAGGCTTAAAAATGTAATAGAGATAGAATGGAAATATCTCAACAGGCTCAGCAACTTACCTTGGGGGACTGAAATAAACAAGGATGAAGCTTAGCACATTCCACATAATCCTGGGCTTGATCAATAATACTTCTGACACCATAACTAGCATTTCCCATACATATTTGGCTGACAGATTTTGGATTCCTAGCAATTACTTTTGTCCATGTTAGACCACCATCACTTATTATATCAACTGTTATCTTTCTATCTTCCAACACAAATACTTTGTTCAAATTTTGACATTTATCCACTGTTTTAAGAGTATTTATGAGTGCATTGAAATGAGTAAGATTTGAACATTGTAGGTGTTCTTTTTTCAATGAATTAATTTTATAAGCCTATAAAGAAAATCATTGTATTAAAAGTAAAAAAATCAGTTTGGCAACCCTAGCTTGGGAACAAAGGGAATATAAAGGCCAACCCAAAATTACATTGTAGAGCATTCATGACTCCATTCACAATGCAACATGGATAAACACCTCTCACAAATTGTGGTATAATCCACTAGGTAAACACAGGTTAGGGAATTTGTACAAGGGTGATTAATCAAGTGATAATCTCTCGACTAATCTGCTATTACAGAATAGGAAAAACTATAATAAGTAATATAGTCAATAGTAGGCCCTTTATTAAGTTTAATAAGCATATAAATACCATTTGCCTGACAGAAAAACTGTAGAAACTGCTAATACAAAAAAACCATACTGGACAAATTAAAATTACTTTTTAATTAAAGATAACAAGATGGGCTACAATATAGCAACAATGTAAAGGAAGAATCTGGCTCAAAATCTTAAACTATAATTTAACAATTGAAATTACCTTTCTCAAAAACTTTAATTCTTGGTTAATTTTACGACATAGTTTTTGAGAACCTTCAATGTGTTTGTAACTTTCTATGGACTTCAATAATTCTTCACCAAATATAATTTTATTCAGAGCCCGATCTTTTAAGTGTAAGTTGTCTTCTGATTGAGTTTCCATTGTATTAATTCCTAATTCGATATTTCAGATAATAAATAAATATAAATAATTTTAATAAAACTTCCTAGCTTTTTGATTTCCTTCCGTATATTTAAAAAATGAAAGAAAAAGGAAATATCACAGAATAAGCTATAGGTTATGTTATTATGGTGGAAATAACTTACAGGCAGTGTTGCCAGAATTTATTTTTGTTATGTATCAGATTTGCCTGAGATTGGGGTCTATTCTGTAACAATTCCTTTGGGGTCTATTCTGCAACAATTCCTTTGGGGTCTATTCTGCAACAATTCCTTTGGGGTCTATTCTGTAACAATTCCTTTGGGGTCTATTCTGTAACAATTCCTTTATATTTAACTGCCTTTAAAAATATTTTCTTCTTTACTTCTGTCATTATTTAAACGGATCTTTGAAATACATTAGAGGACTATCTTAAAGAAATCTGTTTAAGTAATGACATAAGTAAATTAACGAATACGAAAATATTTTTTGAGGCCGTTAAATATAAAGGAATTGTTACAGAATGGACCCATAGGTAAAATGGACCCCAAAGGAATTGTTACATAATAGACCCCAATGTACCAGATTTGATAAAAATGTACCAGATTTTATAAATTGTATCCTTTTATTGTATCATATTTTTCGAATTGTGATGGTTTGGTTCAGAACTGCAAAAAAAACTTTTATCGAGAAACGAATTACACAAACAAGGAAGAATCGTGGAAGAATCCAACAATATATTTATTTTACCAGTGTGGCCAGATTTCTCGTGGATGCCTTTCACAGAACACTTATATACCACTGATCTGTATTATTTTACTGGATAGGATATAGGCTATATTTAACATACTAAAAAACCGTTCCACCAAGGAGACCGGAAGTGCAACAATGCTGGCCGATTTGGGCAAATTATGGTGGGTTCACAGAACTGAAATTTGGGATAATTTGACATACCTAACCCATAATTTGATTAGTTTTTCTTCTTATTCTTCTTCTATTCCTTTTGCGGGCGATGCCCTTCGGGAAAATTCACCCATGATTTGATTTTTTATGAAAGAAAATATAAAAATGGAAACGTGAAGCATATTTGTGTCTTCAGGAATGAACGTTTATTGTTTAATTTATACTCTTTTTACTTTGTTTTCCGCAACTAAAACATCTCATCGTAGCTTGTTGACACAATTAAATGACAAATGTGATGACAAATGGAAATAGAGGTTACGTTAAATAACATCCGGTCCGCCATATTATTTGCCCAAATCGGCCAATTTTTCGGAAGGTTTTTTAGGGGGCTATATCCTATCCAGTAAAATAATACAGATCAGTGTTATATACTCATGCCTTTCAACAAATTGGCTGTCACATATGTAGCCCAAAATTGCAATGTACCAGCGCCTCATAAATCTCTCAAAATCGTAATAATTTCTAGCGTGCGCCCTTTAGTTTTTCTATGGCGTGGGCTAAATCGAAAAATTTTTTTTTTTTTTTTTTTTTTCTTTAGTGTACGGCTTCAACATCTAAGGTCATTAGCCTAGTGTTCTATGTAGGTTATGGATTGTACTAGTAGTCTAATACTCCATAGTGCAGAAAGTATTAGTACTCTAATACTAATACTTTCTGCACTATGGAGTATAAAAGATAATAAAAACAGCATTTTAAAAAAATATAAATATAACTTTGACCTTTAATATCACTCAGATTTTTTTTTATATTACCTACTTGTGAAAAAATATAGGTTCAAATAAACTCGGAGGATAAAACTTTCAAGATTTTTCATTGGGAACAAAAAAAAAAACCATCATTTACATAATCAATGTTTTTTTTTTATTAAAATATATCATCTAATATTTTAAAAACATCAGTTTCTGAAACATCTCCTTCTAAATTTTTATACATGTCAGCATTAAATCATAACAACATATCTTTAATAAGCTGAAAATGTTTACAACATATATCATTTATTGAGAAATGGTATCTAATTTTAATAATAGATTTAAAAGGGAACGCATCATTTTATTTCGAATTTTGGTTTTGATAATGTTCATTATAGAAAATGACCTCTTTACAACTTCATTTGAGGAAAGAAAACAAGAAGAAAAAAATCGCAATATTTTTAAAATTGTAGTCCAAAAATCGCTTTGTGATTTTCTTAAAAAAACTGTGGCAATAATTTCTAGAAAGTAGCCCAAATTGCGGTAAATAGCCCAATCTGGCCACACTGTATTTTACCCGTCAAATGTATACGGGTTAAAAAAGAAAAAGTACTAGATTTTACTTCGAGTGTACTAGAGTACCAGATTCTTAAATAACTGGCAACATTGCTTACAGGCATGGTGGAAAAATCTCAGAGGAAGAAAAATACAGGCCTACATCATGGATGGAACGATATTTTCGAGAATTGGCGTATCGCGTAGCTCAGTGGTACACTTTCGATGCAAAGGAAAAGGCCTATTATTAACCAAAAATTCTCATAATAGTAAAGAAATACTAGACTAGGCCAAAAATAATAAAGAAGATAAAAATATCACCTGACTTAAGTGTCAGTTGTCACACTTGTCACGAGTACGACAGTAGGAGTTGTCAGTGTCATATGATTATTAGGGGTGTGAAAAGCTAAGATAATTCAAAAAATGATTTGTTTCATACCATTGGCATTATTGCTGATTTCTTCAGGTAAAACATTTTTCTATACATTATTTTCTATTAAAATAACACTTTATAGCTTTTTATTAATAAAGACAAACTTCCACAGCTTATGGGACTGGAGAATTTTCAGTCCTGAATCATGCCCCTAGCCTACTATTCAAAGGGCACGATGTCTTAAAAGAGAGTAATTTAAAAGAAGTCTATGCTGCGTGTCTTGGTTTTTCGACTGAACATTTCTCCAATTGGCGTGGACTGTATTTATCTAACCCCTTTGAGGTAGCCCATGCTATTGCTACCATCTACGTAGATGGTGTCTCAGATATTGGTCAACAAAAGGGTCACCACTTTCCTCTTAATACGGATGTGGCTGAATCTAAGATTTACAAGTCTATAGAGAGAAGAATTGGGGAGCATTATCCCGAACAACCTACTAATTTAGTAAGAATTCATTTATCCAATGGATTGGAAGATGTAAGTATTTAAAATAGGTATACAAAATAGCACTTGAGATAATAATATCTTGTATTTTTACAGATTCGCAAATATTCCATTTTTGAAAATATTATAACTGCTAACACAAAGCAACTCAATCATAAAATTTTAAAATTGGATGTTGAAGAAGATAGACAATTTTTGAAAGAATGTACAATTTTGAAAGAAATTGCTGCAAAAGTAAGTATTTAAATTATTATATAATTAACATTTTCATTTCATTTTGATATACTGACATCATCCATATTCACAAAGCTGTTTTAAAAACAGCTTATATTTTAAATGATAGATAGATATAGATCTTTATTTAATTAAGAATCGTAATATACATATAAAAAGAAAAAGATTTTTTATATATAAATATAAAAGTTACTTATAGGAAAGCCATTAATAACATTGACTTCAAATGCCAAATATATCTAGCTAAATTATGGAACCAACTCAATTTTTAAAAACTTCTAAATTTTTAAAAAATCCTGAAATGGGTCGATTTTTGTTTTTAATTACCTATGTCTCAAGCTACCTTTGAAACCAATTGCTTCAACTGTGTTGGTGTGATGACATAATCATTGAATTTGTTAAATTGAAATAGCTGTCATGTGATATATCATTTGTAAGATATTTTAATCCTCTATTCAGCAATACCAATAAAAACTCCCAGGCCGGATATTTTGGTAAGTAATAGAGATATTTTAATTCTGTAAAAGCCAGTTCATAGAGCGCTAAAAGAGCTTCAGTTTTAGATATAAATTAATTTTAAATAAGTCAATATGTAGATGGCGCTGTGCTCAATATTTTTTTTTTTTCGATGGGAGGATGTTTCTTATATAACGCATCTTGTAAAAAATGCATTTTTAAGCAGATTTTGTTCTATAAACTAATTCGATAAATCTAGCCATTTTTGATATACAGAGTGGATCACTCAAAACAGTTTCATCCTGTTTTTTTAGCATTAATCATTGGATTTTAAGAAAATGCTAAAACAAGTCGATTTTTATTCCAAATTAAAAACATTTTAACAATACAAACATCTGTCATGTGCCAACCCCTTCCCTTGTACTTCTCCAACACCTTAATTTTAAATAGGTAATGTACCATGTATGGCAGATCATTGAAAAGGTAATTTAATGGAGAATTCAGAAATATTTTTGTATATTGCGTTACTTAAATTTTATCGCCCTCTAGCGGGATAAACAACTACTACGTATTATAGTATGTGACACAACAATGTGTAGTACATCATTAAAAAGGTAGTTTTATAGGGAATTTAGAAATATGACTGTTCATTGCGATACTTTTAATTGTACCGCCCTCTATCGGGATAAAAAAACTACGTATTATAAAGCGTGACACCTTATTTGAAAGCAAATTTAATTACTAATTCAATGCACCACATAACATGAATATAAATATCCTCCATATTGCACTTGCAATAGTTTGAAAATTATTCATGCATTATTTTAAATATTATTGCTAACTTTATTTTGTTGCAAGTGCAATATGGAAATATTTATATTAATGTTATGTGGTGCATTAAATTAGCTTTTAAATGAGGTGTCACACTTTATAATACATTGCAGGTGTTTTATCCCGATAGAGAGCGCTAAAATTAAAAATATCGCAATAAACAGTTATATTTCTGACTTCCCCATAAAATTACCTTTTCAATGATGTGCCGTACATGATACATTCCTCATTTAAAATTAAGGGGTTGGAGAAGTAGAAGGGAGGGGGTTGACACATGACAGATGTCTGTATTGTAAAAATATGTTCAATTTGGAATAAAAATCGACTTGTTTAGGCATTTTCTAAAAATCCAATGAATATTGCCGAAAAACAGGATGAAACAATTTTGAGTGTCCCACTCTGTATGTCAAAAATGGCTAAATTTATCGAATTAATTTATAGAACAAAATCTGCTTAAAAATGCATTATTTACAAAATGCGTTATATAAGAAAGATCCTCCCATCGAAAAAAATATATTGAGCGCAGCGCCATCGACATATTGACCTATTTAAAATTAATTTATATCTAAAACTGAAGCTCTCTTAGCGCTCTATGAAGTGGCCTTTACAGAATTAAAATATCTCTATTACTTACCAAAATATCAGGGAGTTTTTATTGGTACAACCTGTATATTTTTATTTAATTTATGTGCTTACATACAAGGCGAAGAAAAATTTAGTTCTTATAATACAACCAAACTGCAATAAAAACAGTTCTTTAAAAGACAATTTAAAAATATTAATTAAGTTGATTTTTAATCAAAGCAAATGTTCTTCAAAATGCAATCCACTGGTCTCTTGACAATAAATAAATTGACAGACGCTCATCTTTTAGGTACATTGCGAATGACTTGTGGAGTAATTTAACTCATTTCGTATCTCATTTTCTTTCAGCTCCTGTAGATTTTGTAGTCTATTTACGTTAACTTTTAATTTTGTATAAACTCGCTAAAAAAAAATTAAGGCCTTGCAGGCCACTCTATGGATCCTCGCCTTCCAATTTACTTCCCAGGAAAGCAGTAATTTAAAAACTGGTGAACATCACACTCATAGTGAGGAGGTGCTCTGTCTTGCTGAAACCAGATATCTAGTAAATAAGAATTATTGGCATTTGGAAATAAATTTGCAAGGACATGTATTTGTTCATATCTCAGAAATTGTAGATAACACCATTGAGATTTACATTGAAAAAGAAAAGGCCAATTATTCTTTCTTTGATTATCTCTGCTCACACGTTCACTTTCTAGGTTATCCCTCAGTTATCCTCTTCACTCCAATACCTGCAATTTTGACGATTCACTATACAATTTAGGCAAAAAAAAAAGGTAAAAACGAATTTGCTGAATGAAATTTGCATTGTGGTTACATAAGTCTTGCATAATTTCAGAAAACTGCATTTGGTGATCAGGATCATCTTCATTAAGTTCCTGGTGTAATTGAATTTTGTAACTTTAGTTTTCAGAACAGGTAATACTGATCTCTGAGAAACTCCATAGCCTGCTGTAATTCATAGTGAAGTACTATGAGTAACTCCTAACAAAATGTAAATTTTAACGTTTTCATTGATTTTGGGATGCCTTGCATTTAGAATATTTTCAGCATGCTCATTTTTTTCTAAATTTTCTGTCGATTTTACTGACTGTTGATAGGTCTGTCTGGATAGATTGCATTAAATAAATTGCATACCTCCTGCTGAGTTCTACATTTATCTCGTGTGTCCAAGAAGAATTAAAATTTCTATTTGTTGGATTTTACTTAAATGAGTCATAATATACCCTTTTAAAGAGTTTCTTTTATGTGGTAAGTGATATTACTTCCCACTGTGTATAAAACTGACAGTTTGACTGTCATTTCGTTAATAATTTACAATTTGATTTGTAAAAACTTGATTGATGTTTTTTAAATGAAAAGTAAGCTTTTATGTCTATTATTTTGTTTGCTTCTCTTTGCTTTTTATGAGTAAGTCGTCAATAAGAACTAAATTATTCTTCGACATTTATGCAAATAAATTAAATAAAAATTTATGTTGCTGAATAGAGAATCAAAATACCTTTCAAATTAGGTATCACATGACAGCTCTTTCCGTTTAAAAAACCAGTGATTACATCATTACACCAACACCAGTGATGTAATCTGTTTCAAATGTAGATTGAGACATGGGTAATTAAAAACAAAAATCGACCTCTTTCAGGATTTTTTAAAAATTCCAGTTTTTTCGAAAAGTTGAGTTGGTTCCATAATTTAGCAGCTCACTGTATAAGAAAAATATAAAAAGATTTTACATTTAAATCTAAAAGTTACAAAAGTGAAACATTAACTTACATATACTTTTTAAATGCCAAATACCAAGACAATGTCACATGTAAATACCACAAGAGGAGAATTTTTTGAGAACATTTTGTTGTTTCTTTAAAAATATTCACAAAATGTATCAAACAAAAATATCTTTCAGCCTGGTTTTTGTAAAAAAATTTTAAGATTATAAACAACTTTTATAAAAAAACATTAATCTTGATTCCGTCAGATAAAGTCGGTTCTGTATTTAAATTATGTTACTCTGGTAGTGATTTAAACTTTTTAAATCTGACCTTTTGGACAAACTTCACATTGAAGTTTCACATAAATAATTAATATGTTACTCTTGTAATAAATTGAATTTTTAAAATCCAATCAGGACCGATTGAAAACATTTCATCTTCATGCGATATGACCATATTCACTCTTGTTGCACAAACTACTATTGTGAATTGGGCGATATGAGTGACTACTGGAAAAAATAGGCCATATTTCCACTAGTGTTGATGTTTTAAACCCTATATTTTTATCCTTTAAGGTAGTAGAAGGCAGTATTACAGTTGACGATGTACCTGATGTCTTCTGGTTTGAAGTTGGTTCTTTCCATCCTCTTGTTGATTTCTATGGAGAAAACTCCAGTCAAGTCTTAGAAGCCAAACAAATTCTTAATGAGGTCATTCTTGAAATTAATGCAGCATTTAAAAAATTATATGATGGATATGTTCTTGTATCTGTTATAACCAGCGATGCTAGTCATACTAGGAAAGGGAGAAGTATTCTCCAGAACCAAAATGAAAAAGCCGATGAACCCATTAGTGATGTGAGTATTAAATTCAAGAAATATTTTTTGTTCTTGAAATATTTGAAAATCCCACCATTAATTCCTGTCTCATTCCTTCTTTACATATCGATAGCTTATTGCCAGACTAAAGTAAGCGACATTTGTTCAAATGGCACTTATGATAGTCTGGCAAAAAAGTATCCATATATTTTTCCTTTTGTTTAACGCATCTTAAATTTTTCTAGTGACATTTTCACCAGTCTTATTAGCTATCACTAGTGCAGTACTTTGTATAATGTGCCTTCTTGAAGTTTATGAAAAATACCTGGATTTCCTTCTGATGTTAGTAGTGTTCATCCTGTATATCTCCTCTTCCTCCCATAAAAACCATTTTACATGTATGCAGTATCTATATATATAAAAAAAAAAAAAAAATATGCTAAGGTCATGTTTTTGTTTTTATTTTAGAAAACCAAGTACAACTTGGCAAGCTATTACAACAAAGACTATCCAGTTATTTTTAACATTATTCTTTGGTTTGGAATAATGATGTTATTTTCTCTTATTGCTATAAGTCTAGCCATTGGAAACATGGATCCAGGTCGTGATTCCATTATATACCGTATGACCAGCACTAGAATGAAGAAAGACAATTAAATTTGTTTCCGTTTTTATTTTGTGGAAAGTATAAAATGTGCAATTTGGTGTTATTTGAATCTTTCCACAAACAAAAGGCACATTAAATAGCTACAATCTCCCATGTATGGTGTGAATGTACTTTTATTCATAGAAAAAATAAATTCTAGAGTGTCAAAAAAAGTTTGAATTTGACACCTTCAGCAACATTCACAGTTTATTTTTAGCACGTTTCTTATTTCTGGTTAATTTTAGATACCCAAATAAGATTTATAAATCAGAATTTTTAAATATGAAAATTTAATAGTGTAGTTTATGGATTAGATGTTGGTTGTATATATTATAAATGTGAGTTTGTTATTTGTTTAAGAACTGTTTACATATCTTCTTAAAAAATAACAGTGGTTGTTACTATATTAATATTGCATATCATTGTTACCTTTTAAGAAGACAATGCAAAAAAACCATAAAAGTATTTTCTTGTTTTCAAATATGATTATTGTTTTTTGTGTACACATTCCTTGTAAATAAAAACTAAAATAGAAATGTATTTTATTTAAATCAAAATTTTTGACAAAAACTGATACGATGGTATGCCTCCATTGGGAAAATAGAAAGGTGATTTTTATAAACTCCACGGCTGAGTTACCATTAGCTGGTCATTGCAATTATATATACTGATTACACATCTCTAACTTATTTAAAAAAAAAAGTGTATTATAGAGGAAGAACTGAAACAATTTTATAAAAGTTTAAGGGGTTATACGCAGTTGCAAGGCCGATTTTATGATTTTTTTCTGAAAAAGGGTTTTCTTTAACAAATAAATTCAAGAAGTATTAATAAATGAAATGGTATCTTCTAACTTTATTTTGGCATTTTTAATTTTTAAACATTAATTTACACTGAACCTGTAGACGGTGTCCTCGAAGGTCCTTTAAAAAAAGGTCTGGCTGGCTGTGAACAAGATATTTCTGGCCTGGATTATCTGTATAAAAAAAACGAAAATTCTATTATTAGTGGCTAGATAAATGTAGGTATTGACGAAATTTTGATTTTTGACTAAAGAGCAGCTCTGAAAAGAAAAATTTGATTTGCGACCAAAATTTTTTCTTTAAATTGTTTTATTAAAATAGAAATAATTATCGCAAATCTTATTCCTTCGACCAATTCCTGAAGGTGTTAAAATTTCTGGCCGATCGGTTGAACCGTTTTTGAGAAAGACGCATTCAAAGTTTCAAAAGACGTTTAGACATCGTTAACTTTTTTAATTTGCATGGAGTCATTTATGCCAGGGCCATAAGATGCACCATCAGCGGCTTCTAATATTCCGAGTTGTCTGTGAACCAATATTCCCTCCCGCGTGTTCCCATGCCGTTCTCAAATCGGAGATCGTGACGCGCAGCTGCTATTCTGGTCTTTATGCCGCCTACTTTGTAATGCTCCTAATGTACTTGAAAAACTCCAAGTTAATTAGCGGTATAATTAACCCAATGAAAATGTTTGCAAAATATAAATCAATAAATATGGATATTCCTAATAAGCGGTGACGGTGAAAGACTTAAGGTGATTACAGCACCCCCTTATAAATTTCGGACAAGGATATCTCAAAAAGTAATTTTTTTAAATAATTAAAATTTTGGCAAAATATATTAGGCAATAATATCTAGAATATGCATATATTTTAAAGTTTTAATTATTTCCAGTTTCCGAGAAAAAAAATCAAAGGGCTCTAAATTTTAAAATATAATGAAAATAAATGCATTCCTCAACAGCAGTATTCTTAATATAATCCCAAAAGTTAGGCTCTTAATCTCTTGTTAATGATTTTTTAAAATTCGCCGAAATTAGTGGCTAAAATGCCTCGTTAAGTGCTATTTTCTGGTTTAAACTGGTGTAAATCGTTGAAAGAAACGAATGATGACTCAGAGTGTACGATACGATAGTTACAGACGCGTTACACCAGAAAGCAGCACTTAATGAGGCGTTTTAGCCACTAATTTTGGCGAATTTTAAAAAATCATTAACAAGATATTAAGAGCTTAAATTTGGGGATTGTATTAAGAATACTGCTGTTGAGGAATGCTTTTATTTTCATTATATTTCAAAATTTAAAGCCCTTTCATTTTTTTTCTCGGAAACTGGACGGAATTAAAACTTTAAAAAATATGCATATTCTAGATATTATTGCCTAATATATTTTGCCAAATTTTAATTTTTAAAAAAAATTACTTTTTGAGATATCCTTGTCCGAAAATTATGAGGGGGTGCTGTAATCACCTTAAGATAACGCAACGGAAATATTTACAAAACCAATCATTTGAATAAAAGTATTGTCATTCTAAACATAACTATCGAAAAGCAATATTTTCTTGCGATAAATTCAGAAAAGTTTGCGAGATCGGTCAACCTATGAGCAGAGATTAGCCCAGGGATTATGGTCAGATTTTCGAAAATAATTAAATGTATCTGAAATTCGAGTACTTTATTTGGTTCCCGTTTTAGAGAACATTTTCATGGGAATTCGATTGATACGGTGCCGGGTATGAGGGTAACGTCTCGTGATCGACGACCTGGTGTGCATTAAAGATTCACTGATTAACAGAGTAGTGAAGCGAGTCTACTAGTATTGACTCAAAACACGTTGGGCATTGAGAAATTTAGTGTTTGACCGAAGGTTCGGTTTCGGCGGAAAACAGGCCGAAACCGAAACTATTTTCGAGAGTTATCGCATCACGCTTGGAGGCGTCCGGCACAATGGCGACCGTGCCGGGTGCCATTTCTACACACTTCTTTGCTGTTTTCCAAGTCTTTAGTACTCCTGGCCAAATTTATTCGGATCGGAGGAGTAATTTATTAGGTGAAAAAGTGGAAAAAATTATTATTTCTAACCTAGACTGTGTAATTATTACAGACTTGGTGGGGTTAGGTCTAAGTCTCCATCTGTTAAACCCGGTTATTGTGTACTACCAATTACTGCAGGTTTATTATTGTACTTCGGAGATTTTTCAATGTGAGATTAATGATGTGTCATCAGCATACTGTAGAATATACTGTGTGTTGTCAAAATGATTTGGATCGTTATTATATATATCTGAGCAATACAAGTTGTAAAGTAGTAGTGATATAGGTGATCCTTGGGGGAATCCCTGTTTATAGGTTCAAATGCATTAGATAAAGTATTGCCTACTTTAATTTTCATTTGTCGTCCCGTTAGCATTGTGTCGATTATTAATGTGAGGTGTTTTGAGCAGCCTAATGCGTTCATTTTAAAAAGGAGGCCGTTGTGCCAGACACTGTCAAATGCCTTGTTAATATCAAGGAATAGCACTGCTGTTTTTTCACCATTAAGTTTGGCAGTTTCAACGTTGTTGATTAAAGTTGATAGATGTAGGGTTGAGCAGCCTTTTTTGAAACCAAACTGGTATTTAGGAATAAGGTTTCCTATTTGAGTTTCCATCTTTTTTTTAATGATCTTTTCGAAGTTCTTTCCAATCACTGGGAGTAATGTTATGGGCCTATAGTTAGAGGGGTTAGTGTGATCTGTATCTTTTTTTGGTATTGTTATTATCAGTCCTGTTTTCCATTCATCTGGTATATATTGCTTATTTATGCAATATATGTATATTTTGATTATATATTGATGGATTTTTAGATCTAGATTTCTAAGAAATGTCCTACTAATTGTCATATCCTGGCGCTGTATTCTTTCCGTCCTGGAAGTACTTCAAAATAATCATCTTCTTCGATAGTAATGGCCTCATGAACATGTGCCTCGTTTTTAAAGTTTTCGTACCATTCTTCTATCACTTCTTTGTGATTGTCGTCAAAGTTGTTGTCTATTGTTTCCTCAAATGCAGATTTAAAATGTTCTTTAAAAATTTCAACTTTTTCTACAGGAGATTCGATGATTTGACCATTTTTTATTAAATGGTTGTTATTTATTGAGTTATTTTTGTATTTGCTAAGTTTCTTAATTTCTTGCCAGTAGTTTTTTCCCTTTTTCCTATTGATTTCTTCACATGTAGAAAGCCAGGTGTGTTCCCTATATTGTTGTATCATACACTGGATGTTTTTGTTAAGTTTGTTAATTTCTTTTTTTTGATAATTATTTCCAGGGGCGGCTTGTCACCAAAATTTTGGGGGTTCACAGTAGCAGAATACAGCTCCCGGTACAGATATAGGTAAAAAACTGTCAGTGTTTTAGAAAGGTATATTATAAACTTTCTAAAACACTGACAGTTTTTTCATACATCTGTACTGATACCTATATTATGTCATTGTAAACCACCCTACGAGCCGCCACTGATTATTTCCTGTTGTTTTGTATTCTCTGTACATTTGTCTTTCTCTTTTGATAAGTTGTATTATAAAAGGAGGTAGTGAATGGGTATAATACTTTACCTCTAACTTAGGAGTTTGCTCTTCTACAGTATGTGTCAGTTTGTGATACTGGGTGGGTTGACTTCATTTTCGGTGACATGCTATGGGCTATCATTACGTCATTGATCCTCTTCATATCTGTCTTTTTCCAATTATATTTCATTTTTTTTATGAGACTTGTGGAATTTTGAAAGTCAAAAGATATGCTGAGAGCTTGATGGTCTGCCCCTATATCAGATATTACATCAACTTGCAGAATATTGTTTTGAAGATTAGGCGAGTATAGTAAAATGGAGTTGAGTCTGGTTTTTGTGGCATAATAAATGTTGGTGAAGTAGAATATATTTTGAACCCTGTATTCGTGGTGAAGTTACTTAGCTGTTTCTTCTTATATTTGTTGTCGGTTGCATTAAAGTCTCCAATTATTATTGAATATTTATACAGGGTGGCAATTTTGGTATAAAGTGACATATTTTGTAATCTCAGCAATTGTCAAAACCAGTTGCATAATGTTGACCATTTATGAAACTGGTTCAGAAAAATTAATTATGTGACTAGTTGCGAAAAGAAAAAAAAAATATTTTTTTTTTGTTTTAAAATCAATGATATACATTATTATTGATAGTTTATATCAAAGAAGGGCAGGTTGACTTATAAAAATAGAATTTGGTTAAACTTTACAACCCAGTAATAATGTTGTTTTGGTCCTTATTTTCCATTCTAAATCAACACAAAATAATTAAAACACAATACATGACAAAATAACCCACTTTTTTGAAAACTAAATAACTAATATGCCATATTAACACCACAAGTCGTTGAATATTCTTTCATTTGTCAATAAAATGATGCATATGCAACTAAAAATACAAGAAAGTAGTTATGCTTCACATCCTTGTTAGTGGAAATAAAGATAACCATGTAGTATACCTATGTTACGCCGCTGACCCACCTGTTCAGATTTAAAATTTTTATGTTATTCTCTATCGCTGCCGGCCTAAATTACTCATTACCATTTTTTGTGCCGCGTGATTCACATTGTTCAGACCGACTTTACATTCCAGTGAATATAAAAACATGGGTAAAAAATATCGGAAAATCTCAGAAATACGATAAATTGAAAAAGAAATTCAGAGCACAGAAGTATGAAAATAATGTTTTTCTTTTTATTTAACTGATTTTTAACTTGCAGAATATATACGACAGGTATCTAGCAAATACTTCACTTTAAACGTGAAGAAACCAGTTATATAATTTTTTACCAACAAAAAATAGCCTAAAGACTCTACAAAGCGGCAAAAATAGCAAATTCGTTTAAAAAAATACCATTATAGCAACAAATTTTTTAGTGTTTCGAGTTAATGAAGTGTTTTATTTTAAATCTGGGAATAATTAATGTAATTTCAAAAATACGGCAAGGTTTCAAATTAAATTGCTTTTTGCATTTTCCGTCACACATTATTGTTTAACTTTCAAGGCTCCATAATTTTCTAAACGAGTGGCTCTTTGCGTCAAAAGATGTCCCCTTGACATGTTTTTGGATTTCGCCGAAAAGTTCTTTTCCACCTTGTAATTCCTTGCGGTACGTTTTCGATGGGCCTATAACAGGGTGATTCATAACTAATGGGACATAGACTAAGTGCACGTTATTTTGACCAAAAAATATTGCGATAGGACCAATTATATCTTAACTTTGTGATTTCTTTCTCACTTTTTTTTATTACTTACTACTACTATAATATATTTCGTACTCGATAGTAATGTAAACTAAACCCTTGTTATAGAATTGTAAATACTAAAAACAATAAAGATTATTTATTATATCTTAATAAAATTTTGCTGTAGAATAAGATACAGGACGTTAAAGTTGATTTTTTTTTTCTGATAATATCACTGTATATTTATGAATTGTCATCAAAATCGGAACAGAGGTATAGCTTTGGACAAGGAGTGACATTTACCAGACACAATTATCTGATAGTCCAAAGGACACTTTTCATAAATATTTTTTAAAATACCTTTATTATGAGACTGAACTATTCAATTGTTTTTTCTCGACGACGGAATTTTCCCTTCTGGTACAGAAGCGCCATCCTTATTTTATATATTTTGAGGGACACTTTTTGTATACAGAGATAGTTCTCTTTATCTCTACACTCCATAGTTTAAAGCTTGATTCGAATGTCAGCAAGAATTATATATTTTTAACTACAGGGGTTCTCGCAAATTTTTTAAAACAGATCTTTTTAAGAAATAAAAATTTCATTATTGAGAAAGGCGAATAAGACACAATATTAGTATTTATTATTTACTATTATTTAAATTCTACAAAAATATGTTACATTTTCTATAGGAAGTAGTTGATGTATTAAAGCAAGCTCTAATTAATTTTTATATTTATATTAAACAAATTTTAAAAAGTAGAGATTGTTTAGAATTTTTTTTTAACATTTCTCTCATTTCAGCATTATTGGACCCGAAATCAAAAATTTTATCCTCAAACCGACACAAGATACTGTACAATTAATTGAACAAAATTAGACGAGTCGCTAAATGAAGGACAAGTCAATTAATAGAAATATTCTGACAACTGCTGCTCAACTCAATGTTATATAAAAAGATTTTTTTTCTCTAAAAATATAAATATTGACCTGACCTGACAAATTGTATTTGTCAAATAAAATTAAAGGAGTTATACCAAATATTTTTATTCATAAACTAAAATAATTGTTTCAATGGCATTTCAGCAAAATATAACTGTTAATTTTATTGTCTAGCTAATTGATTTTAATTAGCGCAATGATAGTAGTTTTTATTCCATTAAAATGTATTTAATATAAATATTTCGGTAGGTAAAAATTAATTTATGGTCTTGACCATCCTACGCCATAAAATTTATATGTAAAAAATATAAAAGCTGTTAACAATCCTTTTACTAAAATTGTTTCTTAGAATAAATAATTTGATAATTCTATCAAAAATATTACTTTTATTTCTATCATAGAAAAAAATAGGTTTACGATAACCAAGAATAAGTATATAGGTATAGAACTTTCATTTCATTATTCTAAAAATAGGCACCATGTTTTAAATATACATAAAATTTTCTACAAAAATAAACTTATTCGAGGATTTATATTTGTTCTAAAATATATTCTGGATACCTACTGCTTTAAAATGCAGGACACAGATTCGATGTATTCCCAAATTGTGTATGTGTATTCCAATTATTAGAAAAACATTCATAATTAACTAGTAATTTGTATTTTGTACGATTAATGTAAAATTTAATATTTTTTTGTGAGCAGTGTCACAGAAAATACTTTAGAATAAAATACATTCAGATCTAGATAATAGGCATATTATATAAAGGCACTGTGTTTTATATTATTAGATTATTAGCAAGTTAAAAGTGCTATAAGCTCTAAATACATAGTTATATTGCTAATAAAAACATATTAAGAAACACCATGGTGTGATGCAAGGCATATTTATAGTTTGATAATAAAATAATACTACTCACTAAATTTTATACGATTCATCATTAAAGTTTGACTATTTTAAAATTACAAATGATTTAAAGTGTGAATTTTTAGGTAAGTAGCTTTATTGTAATCTGAATTTCAAAAATAAAGCTACTACAAGTCACAATATTGCAAATTTTTAACTACAAACTAAGTTGATAAGAATTATTAATAAATATAGCAGTATTTTAAAAGATTAATATTTTTGCGAATATGTTATTATGTATTATATGTACTTAAATTCAATAAATGTCTTAGGTTTCTTGGTAAAATGGCTGTATTTAATAAAAAAAAAAAATTTCAATACAAATCAATTGTAAGCATGATTGTTTATTGCGTAAAGTAAAATTTTATTAGAGAATTATCGATTATCTTTTGTACTCTCATTAATAAAGTTTCTCTTATATATTGGCCCGTGGCCTAGTCTTATGACTTTTAATAATTTTTAAAATAAAATAAACGAAAAAAGAAAATAGTTCATTTAATTTTTCCCCATCCGAGAATCGAACTCGAGTCTTCCGTGTGGAAGGCAAGAACGCTGACCACAGGATCATCTAATCTTTCATTTTTGATGCTTTAATACTAGTAATTAAATTGACTTCATATAGTTTTATTTAAATTAACAAATTATTTATAATTATAGCCAAAATAAATCAGAAATGCTATTATTTATCGATTCTACACAAGAATAACCCATTTTAATGTATGTTTAATCTCAATAACTAAAAAATATACTGACAATTAGTTTGACAGAATTGTCACTTATTTAAAATTTTATGAATAATAGCAGTCGTTTGATCAAAATATGATTGGTGGATTTCATTTTTTTGCTGTGTTCTCACTACCTAGAATGGATATGAAATATATTCGTTCAATTGAAGGCAATAGCATACTTTTTCATTTTGTAATCTGTGCGTAGATAACCTCCTCGTAGACTAGGTCACGAGCCGCCTCTGTCTGTAATGATATGCGAATATTTGAGAATGTCAGCTACATGAAAAATTCATGATATACAAACTCTAGTTCAAAAATTTTCCGTTATAAAAATAAGGGGTGCTAAGAATTTTGGAAAAAAAGGAAATTAATATTTTCGAAACCGCTTGAGATATTTCAGTGAAAAATTATAAAGGCCAACTAGATTTATTTCAAAATTGCATTCTTCAATAATTACATTAATTTTTTTGGACAGTTCAACGGTTTTTATTATTTTTTTTTTTTTTATTCAAAAACAGCGCGTCACAGGAAAACAACTCAGGTCAGGAGAGCTCTTAAGATTCAAATTAAACAAGGAATTCAAAAATAAATTCTATTTGGGAAAAAACCACTGGTACACAATTTTTTTCTTAAAATATATCGAAGTCAATGACCGTATGTACGCCACTGTCAAAGCTGAAAATAATTTCAAGACGGTTCGAAAAAAATTTTTTTTTAAAGAAAATGTGCCAATTGTAGTTTCGCCAGTTTTTTGCCCAAAACCAACACTAAAGACGAAATTCTCATTTTAGGCAGAAACCTTCGACCGAGAACTAAAGCAAACTAGCATCAATTTTTCATGTAGATTCACACCCTTAAATATTCGCATATTATTAGTAAACACCCTGAATATAAATATGTATAAAATGTATATTTATTTACTATGACATGCTCAACACCATGTAAGGTATTTTTAATAACAAAGATTTCTTTCTTATTTTGGCATTCGCAATCGCTGCACCTTTTTTGATCGTCTTTTAATAAAATACTGGCCTTCTCCTTCTCTTATTCTGATAGTATTTCTGTTATATTGTCTATCAATACCCGACATTTCAATTTATATATTTCTAAACTTGACCTGTCATCTGCTTGCCGTATGTTGCTTTTTTTTTAACAAAGTATAACTTTATAATCTGATTTTTAATTAGTTATTATCAGATTAAAAGAAATACCATAATAAAGTTTAAACATAGTTTTCGATATATAATTTTAAAAATACTCTATAGGATCTTTTTTTAAAAGCAACCTCTATTTGAATGCTTCGATAATTCTCTCTAATTTTTTTTGTGTCGTTGTTAGCTTTGGACATAGTCCATTTGCCACAGGTTATTATCTTTATTGTTTTTTTTGCACAGGGTAGGAGAGAAAATAACCGTTGTCAACAGTTGATAGTATGCCATACTTACTATGATACTTGAGACTTAATATGGACTGATATGCTATCATAAAAAGAAATCTGGAAAGTTTGGAGGTTACACTGTCGCCAAATCCTGGGATAATATGGTATCGAACAGTAATTAAGTATACTGATGCAATCTTGTAGCAATATCTCTTGACTGATATTCAGTTTACATAAAAGTTGGTGGGCATTATTTTGAGAAATCAAATAAAATGATTGTGAACATTAATTACACTCTTTAACTAATACCAATATTTTTATTAAGTCCAATATCTGCTTGAAAACGGTTGGTTTTCGTATTTGTAACATTTATTAACACCCTGTATGTACTGTATCTCATTTGACGACAAAATTTGAATATGCTCGAATGCAGTATATTTTACCAAGAATTCTAATTAGTACTAACGCAATGTTCCTTCATTACTCGAACCTTAGCCAATCACAAATTATGAGACACAATACAGCCTAATTCACAAAGCATTATTAAATATTTACCGTCCCGTTAATTCGTAAAAATAAAAATGTCAACGTCAATTCAGAGAAAAAGTAGAGTTGGACGATGTGATGTTTCAACCACATTTTGAATTGTTACTGTGATTAGTAAAATTCAGATAAATTAAGTTATGTTTCCTCAAATCCTTAACAAATTAAATCCTAAAAAGTATTTATGAAATCTATATAATAGTTTACAGAGATTAAAATAATTAAGTGACAGTAATTGAAATATCGTCCACCGAATAGACTTTCAGTGCTGTGTACATTTGTAAGTCACCCCAGACAAGCTCAGTTAGCTTGTAGGATTAAAATTCACTCGCCAGGAATAAATTTAAAGATGCTTTGTGATTAGGCTAATAGTTTCACTATAAGAGAAGTTTGTGGAAGAGGCTAAAAAATAGAGTATTGATGGCCCGACTGCTATAACATTTGCTAACGCTGAATACAATGTTTGAAACATAACTTAAACTTAATGATTGTACTACACACAATTCTTTCAATCCCATTGTCATGAGATTGAGTATATTTGGGCAATTGAAAAAATAAACATAGGTATTTATGATAATATTAGTTCTTAAAGCAGCATTGATATTTAATAGCAAGTTATAAAAATGTGAATTATTTTCACACTTGATATTTTTAGATCTAAGGAAAATTTACTATTCTACAAATGAAACATGAATATAAATATTTAACAATTAATTAATAACACTTTCACACTGGATTGTTCTTCCCGGTATCCGAAACCTAAATTCAAATCGACATAACAAAATTTCAATATTCCCTTGAATACATTAAGAATTCTAAAAAAAAAAAACAATTAGAGGATATCTAATTTGCCATGTGTATTAATTATTGTCAAAGTTCGTTATTTTATATATATATATATATATATATATATATATATATATATATATATATATATATATATATATATATATATATTCGGCATTTAGGTTTGACCAATAAAAAATGTAACAGACTTACGTTATATATAATCGAGTATTCAACTATACCACTTTAAAATGGGTAGTCAACTGCTTCTCGGTAAATGCAACCTAAAGTTCGATTTTTTCCAATTTATCAGTGAGTATAGTGAAATAAATCGTAATGCTAACAAATTGAATGGTATAAAAGTTAAATATCCTTGAACATCTAAATTTGTATTCAGAAACTCAATTATGGTAAAAATTATATTCTAATTAAAACTAAATAGGTACATTAATAAAAACTGTTATATTATTAATAAACATTCTTAATATTTCTATAAAAAAGATAATTAAATTAATAAAAAAAGTTCATTAATACAAATCAGTATGAGTGTGACTAGTTAAAATAAAACGTTTTTGCCAATATACAATGATCTTGGGCCACGCTTTAATGGTATGGATCGTCAACTCACCTTGCTTTGAAGGACAAGTAAATCCATTAGTTCCCATTACTAATAGCGATTGCGGCCTGAAAATTTCTACACCAGGTGAATGCAACTACTCATTACAACACGGTTTTAATTTATCTTTTCTATCAATGTCTATTTTTATTATCCGCATTATTATGTCATAATAAATGTAATTTTTCAAACATCAATTACATATTTTGACATATCGCTGGTTGGCAAGAACAACGTCGCAAGTAAAAATAGTCGATTTTATAGTATGGTATTTTTAAATGTTTTATTGCATATTTCAAAATGTAGTTAATTTAATCTTAGGTTAACTTTACTAATTATAATATAAAATAGTAATATAATACATAAAAATATTAAAACCCCTTTCAGACATCGGTCATTATTCTTGAGATTAAGAATGATAAAAAAAAGCATCTTCTCATTGATGTCTAAATTTAAAACAATTGGGCTTCACAAAAAACAAATAAAATATTACATACAATTTTATTTTTTTAAAAAATAGACGTATACTTTTAAAACAAAACAAAAAATAAACGAAGTCTTCAAAATTTGTCAACATTCTTGAAAAAGAAAAAAGCGTGTTTTTAAAATCAAGTTTGGACATCAAAGGTGTAACTGAAATGAGCCCATATTCGTGGTATATATGGACTTGTTTCTTTCAAATCAATAGTGACTCTATCTCTAATGTTTAGCAAACGATGTTGACCAGAATTTTATATGATAAAAATAAGTGATTTCTGTTGTTTTTATAGAAATAAAAATTTCCTTGGTTAATTCGGTCGTTTTTATTTTCTATTGTTTAGCACAGCACTACATATGTTTCGAAAAACTTTTCCATCTTCGGTTGGTCAAAATAATAAAAAAAAAATGGGGACGATTACAAACAAATTAAATTTTTTTCTGTTTCAGCGTGTATTGGTATCAGTATTTTTGCAAACCAGCGATATGTTATTTTAAGGACAAGTTCGTATAGGATACAATGCGCATATAGTTTAGTGTGTAGTTCATTATAGGAGTGCATACAGATCAATTCACCATAATATGGACACGGTATTATCAAAATTATCATTCATGCCGTAAAAATAAAGCTCTGACTTCGGACATTTAAACGCGAGTGTGCAGGACATTGCCAATATTATCTGTCTATAATTGTATTTCATAACGAGGATACTGTTTTTGATGTAATAGAAAAGATCCCAAAATTATTAAAAAGAAGATCCCCTAATTGAATACAACATAAATATTCAATAAACTCTCCACAAGCAAGTTAAATAATTGTATTTTGAGAAATTAATTTTAGTGCCGATCTTTTCACCTCTGAGTAAAGTTACATGTAGGTTTACTCGACAGATTAACGTTCAATAGCCCTATAGTTTAATCAGCAAGTAGTTACTTTCAACTTTACTCAGAGGTGAAAAGATTGGCCCTTAGTCCGATATCCTATCGGATATTTTGTTCATATAATGTACAACACTAAGTACTATTGAGAAAAATTATGCTGAATTATTGAAGTCTTCGTCGCACATCTCTCAACCGAGTGAAACAGAATGTATATGAAAGCGTGCAAGTGAGGGTCCTGTGCCTATGTTTAAAGTTAAAATACAATAACAGCTGTGCAACTTTTGAAAAATTAATGCGCAGCATTGGGAGAACTTTTCCACCACCTATGGAATCATCTCTCTATCGATTTTAGTTTCTCACTCTGTCATTTCTCGTTGTACCTACTCTTTGACAACTGTCACTTTAAAATGTGCTTTTATTACGAAGCGAAAAATAGTTCATTTTAATTTAAAATAAATGTTTATGGGATTGAGAAAGTACAAATGTTAAAATGGATTTTTCAAGGCAGCACAATTCGACAAATAGGCAACAGTATGTCGCAATTGAATTGATTAGCCACAATACGCTATTAGTGTGATGTAATTTGTGTTCTATTGAAAGTTAACAAACAAAATCAAACGAGCGTCGGACCAGTATTGGAGCAGACCCCACGACTCACACCGAATGTAAACGAGACATATCGAAACATTTTACATGGTGCTATTTTTAAATATTCGGTGTGATAGAATTTTATACAAAGATAAAAATAAACCTTTCAAACTAAATTTTACTGTAATTTTACAATGAAAAATACAATATGTACGTATTTAAAGTGATCAGTAAAATTTTCTGAATATATTTTAAAAATAAACTAATAAACACAGAATAGATAAAATCATTTATTTGCAGAATTTTACAAATTAATGTAAAATTCAATTAGGGATAGTCTGCAGGTTAATAACTTCGCCGAGGGGTGTCTAAAGATGTCCCTATTTTTGGAAGTGGCTGTTGGGTTTAAAATGGGCTGTACTGTTTTATAAAATATATCATTATAAATTTACAACAAACGTTGATGTGCTGAAGTAACAAGTTCGAATATGAATGCTCTTTTTTAACCTTACTTCTCTCGATTGAGGAAAGGGAAGCAGTGGCGTAACCAGGAACAATAAAAATAAACAATTAAACGTATAAAAAATAAATAAAATAAAAACTAAACAGTGGCTATATATGTAATCATATTATTTTTAATGTTTAAATGAATACATTTTTGAAAATAATAGAAATAGTTAATGAATACCTATAACCTCTATTTTTATAAGTTAACTGTCATTGTATTTGTCAGTGGAACAGGCATTACATCATAACTAATACATCATATTGGTCATTAAGTATAACATGTTCATATTACGGTTGATGATTCAGTATATTATTCAATTATTAATGTCATTATTACATATGATCTATTATAATATCATTAAATTATTCAATAAGTTACACCAAAAATTAAACAAATTGAATCCTTAAATTAAAACGGAGTTATTTGATTTGTTAAACAGTTTAGACCGTTATTGTATAGAGCAGGGGTCGGCAATCTTTTTGTCAATAAGAGCAAGTTATAGAGGCCTTATGGAGGTAATATATACGGTTCAAATAATAACGTTTTATTTGTCTATACCTACGAGTGTACCATAGATAGAATTGATTTACCAACACCATAAAAGTATCACAGAGAGTGCCATGGCGTCCTAGGGCACCTCGTTGCCTACCTCTGGCATAGAGTGTCAACTCTGAAATGCATTTTGATGTTATTTTATGGTTCTTTAAAATAAAGATTCATTATTATTAGTATTATTACTAATACTATTATTCTTTTCATTCATGTTACTCTTATTGTTTTCCAGTAGAATTGATTTTCATCTATTATCTGGGTTCATGTTCTCGTTTTGTTCTTTCTCCTTTTAATCAATAAACAAAACTATTACCGTTCTATTTTGGCTGCTACATTTAGATCGGCCATGATCATTATATACTTTCCTTTCTATCTACCGTTTCTAAGGAAGATAAACTAGCCTGCAGTAATTATTAAGTCGTTAAATCTGGTTTAGACATTAAAAAAATATATATTTTATATATTGTTGAACAATATATTATAAAAATTATTAGTCAATTCATGATAATAAATATTAAAATGTCTTTTTATATAATATTTGAGTACCACATACAGGATCTACCTATCTAAGATAGACATTATTATAAACAAAATAAAATTCTCAAGAGTCAGTATAAAAATCGAATATACGATATTTTTCAAGGAAAAACAGTTAAAATATTATCTGGCTAATTCAGATTAACGAAATATCTAGATAAGCGCGTGGTTAGCCTCATCCTGTTAGAATTAGAAGAAAATGTAGTCATTAAATTAATAAAATTAAAAACCAAAGAGTAAAAAAAGTTATTTAAGCCGGAGTTGGTGTGCCTGGTTTTCTTGGGGTGGCTTCATGTTGTCTTCTTAAACGACGACGTAACTCGTTAGGAAACTTCTCGTAACATTTTTTGCATACTGGTTTTAAGTCGTATTCATAGAATTTCGTTTTCTGGTTCATTTTTTGATCGCAGATCGAACAAGCGAAGTGATGGACACACCAAGCCTTGTTCATGGCAGTAAAAACTAAAAGAATAAAAAATAATAATCAAATCTTTGAATAAACAGGACTATGAGTAACTGAAATAATATGCTACGAATAAAGAAATGAACACGTCTGTCAACCAATGGAATTTTTTTCATTTTTAAATTTTCATTATAGTTAAATACGTTAATTGTAGTCAGTGTAAAAATTTCAGGAATGTGTAATGAAATGCATTTTATTTTAATTCAAATTATGAAGTTATTACTAAACAAAACTATTTCAACTTTGAAAATACACCTTTTCTATTATTTAATAAATACATTAAATCAAATTGAGCCAGATTGTAATATTTTAAAGCCAATGAGCTATATACCATTACTCATTGGACCATTAATTACAGACCACTAGGGATGTTGCGATACTACTGATATGATACTGGTATCGCTACTTTTCTTTCGATACCGGGTAATTTAGTACCCGATATTTTGCTTTCGATACTTTACCCATATCATTACTACTTTTGTTTCGATACTACTACTTTCGTTTCAATATTTTACTAGTTTTGACATTACAATACATACAAAAAGTGTATGATAGGATCACTTTATGGTATGTTATGTCGACTTACCGTATGACCTTTTTTTTTGGATCTACACTCTTCCCGATATCGGTATCGATACTTTGGTTCCGATACCCTTTCGATACCGGTATCGATACCTTGGTTCCGATACCCTTTTCGATACCGGTATCGATGCTTTACTGGTATCGCAACATCCCTACAGACCACCCTGATTATAAATAATTGTAAAAATAAATTATATATACCGTTGTTAGAATACAATATGAATCGTCATAAAATTTAAATCATCATAAAATTCAAATAAAAAAAAAACAATCAAGCATAAATAAAATTTAAAATAGATAATATTAAAAGTAATTTTCAGAAGTTGACACCAAACAAGAATCTTCAAAATCAATATTATCGTTACAAATGGTAATAATAATAGGTCCAATCCATATTTATATTATTCTTCCCAAAGTTCATCTTGACCAATACATTTAAACCAATCAGCAGCTGTAACAGCACTCACTGCATTGTTTAAAAGTATTGTTACCAATTTGAAAATTGTATTTTTATACGAGCCTTTTACTTGGGTCCATTTTAACCCAATCGGATTTAATACCCGGTGATAAGGTGGGTGGGAGTCTTGATATACCGAAACTGCATTCTTTAGCTATTTCATCTACGACCAATTTAATGAATTTTTCTGTGTGAAATCGGGTAATACTAAGCAATGTCGCTTTCAACATTCGGTACAATCTAAATTTTTCGTTTTCAACCAGCCGAATATTTCTCGCCGTCGTGGAATGTTCTTCTAAGTGACGAGTTATCTAATACAATGACTGAACCCGGTTTTAAATATCTTCGTGATAATTCCCGGTCTTTCGTGATTGAGAAACATTTAGCCTACCTTCAACAAACCCAGTATCACTGCCAATAAAAATAATTATTAAACGATATCTTTTACCTGACGCAGATTTCAAATCCACAGAGAGCCTTTGTAAGAAAACATCTCTACGATTTTAATTTTTTTAATCTTACCAGCTTGTGTAACAGCGTACCATGATTAACCCAGGTTTCGTCCACATAATAAATGTTTTCCCCTCATTGTGATATCTACGAATTTACTTTAAATATTTTTTCGCTAAAAAATGATTTCCTATTTACTTATAATTACGAAAATGTTGCCACCTCATCTACTGTATAACCTAGAAAATTTTGGGTATATCCTGATTCGTTTTTAAAAGATTTCAAAAGAAAAACAATAAAAAAATATAAATACCGCGATCTACCTGTTACCATATAAAGCCAATGCTACTGATCCATATTAGAGACAACGAGGCACGTTGATGAATACGACGACGTATTTTCATACCTTAGCGTATTACGTTCTGTTGCATTTTATTACCTGTTAAAAACTGAAAGAGAGAATCTAAGTCAAAGGCATGTGGCAACGCACTACAAGTTGAACCAGACAGGTCAGCACAGATCTCAGATGTACATTGTTTTACATACATAAAAAAATGTGCCTCAAATTTAAATATTATAATTTTTGATTTAGTATAATATATTATAATAGTATAATATATTACAGTATTAAGCAACAATAGTGTATTTTAAACATTTTATTTCCATAATTTTTATAAAGAAAGAAATGATTCTTTCAATATAACTCTATTACACATCCTGATTTTTTTACTTTCTAAAATAAACTTCTTCGTGTATAGCTTGTCTTCGAATCTATAGAATTATCTTCTTGCATAAATTTACAAAGACAGTAAAAAATTACTAAAATAAATCCATTTGATTTGGGTGACAAATTATTTAAAAAATGATTAAAATTATATTGTAAAAATAAACTGAACCAATAGGTTGATGTGTTTTTTTTTTGGTTTAAAATTATTCAGCCTCCATATCTAAGGTGATACAAAAAGGAATAGCCATTAATGCCCGGCACGAAAGTTGAAGACTTCTTGATGTTGATATAAATTCAAACTTCTCCCTAATACAAGAATAGTAGACAGAGTAGTTTTAGAGAACTCACTTAGGAAATAATAGTTCGATATTTTTTTTAACAATTTGTAAAATTTACTTGCACCGATTAAAATCAATAATCTAGTCTTGCAAAAAGTCACATTAAGTAATTTTAAACATATAATTGGAATTCAAGAAGAACCAATAGATAAGTTAAACGGAAAAATAAGGAGAGGATTTTTGGCAATTTAATGCAGCGTTGTCATATCAGCTGCTTTAAATGTTTTGTGTGAATTTAGTATGAATTTTTATTTGGCAAAAACTCAAAAACCACAAAATATGAAAAATTCATATTTGGAAGATACATTTTTCCCCGATATAGAAAAATAATGCCGCAGAAACAATAATTAAAATCAATGTCCGGCTTAACAAAATTTGGCCATTTATTTCCGCCTCAATAAGATATTTCGAAAGAGTGGAAAAAAGTGATTTGGATTATGGTCGTTTCAAATTTGCGTATTTTGTTTTGGTTAAAATAAAATGAACCGCATTAAAATGTTTTTTAGGTAAATTAAACACAAAATCTAGTATTACATAAAATTAATTAAATTTGGCTACCGGTTTCGGCTAATCAGCCATTTTAAAGCGTGGAATGAAATATATTGACAAAACGTTTATTAAAAAAAAATGATGGATTACGTTTTCTACAACAAAAATATTACAACTTGCATTTGCTGGCAACTGGGAATACCGACACATACCAGTGTTGATTGTTGGGAGTTTTAAAGAAAATTAAATAAATATTTCTGGGTGAAAGTGGGTCCATGGTGATACTATATTTTCTAGAGATTATTTTTCCATCTGTCAAAATAGCAAAATTTTGAGATTTCAGGCAATAAGAGCTCGGGATCCTAACCAATTATTGAGTTTTATACTGATTAAGTGCTTTTTCGTTTTTGTTTTTTGTTAAAACTATGTTTACCTTTTGAACTGACAACTAAACAAAATCTAACAATTTTTATTAAACTAAAATGTACGTCAAATCTATTTTAAAACCCAAATTTCAAAATTGTTAGTTTTACTGCACAAACTTAAAACTAATCTGTTTTTGTGAACGTTAAATCACTTTTAACACTCAATGTTTAAACATCATGTTTTTAATACCTAAACAATTCCAAATTAGCTAAATTAAGCAATCTTTAAGACACGGAAATCACAATAAGGCCTTTAAAATTTGGAAAATGTCAAATAATTAACTTTATTTTTCCACCGTTTTGCATATACCCGCCATTTACAACTGTTGATGTAATGCGTTGATGCCATTTTCATATTTTTTAGACTATTAAAGGAAATTAATCACTATAAAACAAATAAATATTTATAGAATGTTTAATAAAACTTAGAGATTACTACCTACTCTAAATATATTTAATGTCTTTTCATACAAAATGATTCAAAAAATAATAATTTCAAATACCGCTCGTCCTTTTAAATTTTATTTATTAAATTTTGAGTTTTCATACTCAAACGACTTTATTTCGCACAAATAAAAAGTGTACAAATAACATTTCACTGTGATTACCATAAAGATTGACCAAGGATTTTTTCAAATATAACAATCTAAAGAAAAAAAACTAAACAGGTATCTTGACATTGCACCAACATTAATCATGAACAAATATTTTTTATTTTGAATATACATCAGTAATAGATAAAAACTTGACTCACCATCTCCACCGATGACTTGGTTACATAAATGGCAAAGATTTCCAAAAAGTTGATGATAATGAGTTTCACAGTAAGCTAAACCTTTTTTCTCATAATGACGATGGCCAAAGAAAGGTTTCTCACATTTAGCACAAACGAAATGCTAAAAATTATTTAAAATTAGGAAAATGGAAATATTCAACAACGTTTGAATCAATGTACCTCAACATGCCAATGTTTTCCAAGAGCTGTAACAACTCGTTCCTCAATAGGCCTCCTGCAAGCACCACATATGGGTATGCCCATCTTGTCATGACACCTCAAACAATACAATTCGTTCATCTCATTTTTGGCAAATCCAGAACGATTCCTGACTTCCCTGGCGCTACTATCTAGTTCTACACCGCAAGCTGTGCAATTGAAGTGGTAAGGATGGTAAACCTCGCCCCTGAACTTCAAAGGTTGATCATCAATCATTGCACTAAAAATATATAAAATTGTAACAAAATAATATATATAAGGTACAACAAAAGAAATTTCCATTAGCGAAGGAATAGCGCAGGATTCACTTAGTCCCTTAATTGTGTACTTACTGACATTTGTGGCAAATATATTTGCCTAAACCTCTAGCTTTAACTTTAGCATTGCATTCATGGCATAAAGCTCTACCACCATTTTTTATGAAACCAGTATCTGCTAATTCTAAGGCGCACATTTCACATTTGAAACAAGATGGATGCCAGCTGGAATTCATGGCTTTGATTACCTACAAAAAAGACAAATTTAGGAAATATTATCATTGTTTATTATTTCAAAAAGTAATTAACCAAGAAGTATAAAATTATCTAAAACAATTAAAATAAATAAGAATTAACTAAGTACCCTGCCAATGATAAATTCTCCACATTTGTTGCAGCATGGAGCAAACAGCACTTGAAAGTCATGTTCACAATATTTTCTTCCATCGAATTCGTAAAATACACCATCCCTAAATTCACGGAAGCATTGTGCACAGCTGTAAATATTTACAATTATATTAAAAATGAATATGTGTAGGGCTACGTAAAAATTTTTATATTTATTTATTTATTTATTTAACACACCACCCAACAGTGATAACCATTTAACGGATGGGAAAAACAATATTAATAGAAATGTTGATTATAAAAACTGTAAATATATAGTATTATTTGCAATCCAGGTGTCAATGTCCATGAAAAAAACCTGTGGCTGTATTCGAAACAGGAAAAAATGGATATTAACATTGGACAGCTATTACAGGATAAAGTAATATATGTTTAATTGACAATAATACCAATAACTGAACTAAGTTTACACAATGAACTAAAATTCAGTAATACACATAAGTAAAAATTATAACACATTAACCCAAAGTAACACGTTTAATTTGAAATATGTTGCAAGCAAAAATATCCAAGCTGTCTTGGATGGTATGATACTCATTAATTGCTTGATACAGTGGGGATGAATTTAAAATGTTGGTTCTTGCTGTTGGCAAATAAAAACTAAAATACACCCTAAGCCCTACGCGTGGTATTTTCAACTGAATATAATTTACCAAATCAATGCTATGTGACCGTTAAGAACTTTCCAAAGTAGTGTTATTTGCTGAAAAGTTCGACGTTTTCCCAGATCTGAGAGTTTAAATTGTGTTAATAGAAGATCATGAGGAAAGCCTCTTGGGGGATATATATATACACCATCTAATATAAAAAAGCCGATTTCAGAAATTTTCTTTGAACTTTTTCGATTAGGTCAATATATACATTTTGTCTGGGACTCCATATCTCAGATGCATATTCAAGTTTCGATCGAACCAAGCTGTTATATAAGATTTTTAATGTGGACATATCTGAGAATTCTTTGCAACTTCTTATGACAAACCCTAGTATTTTATTGGCAGATGACACCACTGATTCAATGTGTTTAGTGAAGGTAAGTTCAGGATCAAAATATACCCCCAGATCTCTTACAAAGTCAGGCCTATTGAGAAAAATACCATGCAATCTATAATTAAAAGTGAAAGCAGTTAATCGCCTGGTAAAGGACATAACCGAACATTTTTCTGGATTCAATGGGAGTAAACTACCCTGACACCAATGCGCTATACTATCCAGACATTTTTGTAAAAGTTTGCAGTCATTCGTTGAACGAACTTCCACCAATAATTTTAGATCATCTGCATTAATACCTTTATATCATTGATGTTTAGAACAATATGATACAAAAATATATTGAATAAAAGAGGCCCCAAAATTGATCCCTGTGGTACTCCTGATAACTGCTGGAATTTTTCTGACTTATAACCATGGCACTGGACATACTGATGTTTGTCTTGTAAGTAAGAAGTTAGTAGCAGATGTAGCTCCGTGCTTAAACCTATGTAGGAAAGTTTTTTGAGTAAGATGGTATGGTTAATTCTGTCGAAAGCTTTAGAAAAGTCAGTTTATATTACATCTAGGGCCTCTGATATAAACTGTGTGGAATAAATAAGATTTGTTACCGTGGATCTGCCTTTCATGAATACATGTTGATCTGAGGATATAGATCGGGAGATATGATTTGATAAATGATCATGAAGAACGAATTCTAATATCTTAGCAAAGTTACATATAATAATACTAATAGGTCTATAATTTTGAACATGATTTTTATTGCATTTTTTATGAACCAGAGTTACATGAGATATCTTCCACTCACTAGGGATAGTGCAAGATTTTAGAATTTTATTAAAAATTGTATGTAGAGAAGTTGCAAAAATGTATGCACAATCTTTAATAATAAAGGCAGGTAGCAGGTCAGGCCCCATTGTCATGTTTGGTTTCAATTTTTTAATAGCCTTGATAATTTTGTCTTGTAATATTGATTTTATGTATAGCGTCGGAAAATTTGAAGTCAATTCATTTTCGTAGTTGGTAGATGCTGACTAAGAATAACTATTAAAGAAATGATCTGCATAAGCCTGGACGATTGCTTGTGGGTCTTCGATAAAGCAGTTTTTATACTCAACTGATGTTGGTATGGAGAATGAAGAATTTTTAGAATTCATATAGCTCCAGAATTGTTTAGTATCGCTTTTTATATTTCTCTCAATATTTCGCAAATACAAAGTGCGAGCCGATGATATTTCTCGTTTAATATTAGAGCGAAGGTGTTTTTAAATGTATTTAGTGCGTCTACTGACTGAATGGATTTATAGATTGTGTGGGCTTTTTCTTTTTGTCGAATCATGTGTATTATGTTACCATTAAACTACGGCGGATAAGTTCTAGAATTCGATTTCTTGATAGGAATATGTTCTCTAAAAATATCCTATAGTTTGTTGTTCAATAACTGAATTCTAATCTATGTTAGATACATTTTGCAGAAAGCTCCAGTCGATATTGTTTATTGCATTGTAGAGATTTGGGAAATTTGCTTTTTTGTAACTGAACTGCATATTATCTGGTTTAAAGGGCATTGGTGAATTTGTATTTGTTGTTGAAATTTCTATGCATAATGATGGATGGTAATCATCTTCATTTAATACTATTTCATCAGTTCTGTAAACCTTGCATTCATTATTAAAGTAAACTAAATCCAATAAGCATTGAAATTTATTCTTGACTAAATTGAACTGTTGTAAATTAAAGAAATCTGCAAAAGTTTTGACAACATTTAGTTTGGTAGACATACTAGGACCATTTATCTGAGAAACATACTCTGGTATATTAAAATCACCGATTACAGGAAGATTTTTATCATATTATCTGAAAAACTTGGCAAGCAATGGAATATTTATATATTATTAATTAATATTTCTAATAATTATTACATTTGAAAGTGAGAAAGTCGGTTTGGATCCGAAAAACTAAGTGCTGATTTTGAAATTTTGAAAATGAAAAACTCCTAATTCCCCATACGAAACTGTGAGAATTACACCCTCATATCCCCAAAGTAAAAACAAACCAAAGAAAAATTGAAAAAGCTGAAAAAATGCATATGAGATTGGGAGTCGGACCTGGAACCATGGACTTGGGCCGTCCGCTAGCTAACCAATTGTAATGTTGGTTGCATCAAAGGGCTGCATTCAAGGAAGGGTCCTATGTCATATTTTCAATTGTATACTGTTTTTTCAATATTTCTCGAGTGAATCTAGACTTGAGACTATAAGTAATTCTTAAAGCATTTTTCAAGAAACAATATTAATTTGATGTCGGTGTGGATTTCAGGATAATGAAGAAACCGATGGAACTGATGCACTCGCAATATATTGAGGTTTGATTCAATTTTCAGGCAAGAACCTGATTTATTAAATTAACAACCATCCATGTCATGAAAACCATTAGTTAATAGGAAAATCAAATAAAATCTCAGAGATCAGAATATAATAATAAATTCAATGATCTATCAACTAAACATATAAAAAAAATTTATGATGAGTTTGCTATTAATGCTTTAAAACTTACACAAAACATTGTTGATGCCAAAGTTGTCCTGTAGAGTTGACAATCTTTTCTTGAGGCTCAAAACCGTCTCCACATTTGGAACATATCATATTATCCCTCGACATATTGTTCAATCTGCAAAATCAAAATCAATGTTTAAAAAAAAATCTTCTAAACAATGACCACTTTTATTTAATTAGATGAATTAATTTATGATTGAATTGTGTCTGGTTAATAAAATTAATTTGATATAAAGTGGAAAGGCCAATAATTCTAGAGTGTTATAGTTTACAGCTTGATTATCCACCGCGTAAATTAGTTGTTTTCTACTACTCAACGGTTCCTCAAAGCACTGGCTGTAATGCAATATTCCGAATCTATATATGTTTATTTTTATTATATTTCCCAATCGCAAGTAAAATGCATATTCAAGTACCCATCTAATGAATTTGAAACTAAATCTTTGCTGCTAAATTCTAGATGCTGCTAAATCTACGATACTCAGGAATTCTGGATCAAAGCAAGCCAGTCTTTGAAGGATTTCCCAAAAGCTTGACTCCTCAAGTTGTTGTACATGAACAAGTTTTAATTTCCAGATAAAAATGTTTTTACTAAAATAAACGTAATTTAATGTGTGGATTTTTTTATAAAAGGGAACCAGTAAAACTATTTATAAATTGTAAATAATAAAATAATTAAAAAAACAAACGTCCCTACTTTTAATTTGATATATAACTTTTTTGTTTGATCAAGAACCTTCAAGACTCAGCGTACTTGATCAATGAAACCTACATACTGCTTTAAAAACAATAATACCTTTTTGGACTTGTGAGGAAGAATGGTTTAACTGGTATCTGTGGACTACCGGGACCCAAGGATACATCATCATAGCTGTCGTATTTATAATAAGAAAAATCTAACTCTTCCTTAGAGTTCGCTCTCCTCTGAATCAAATTACTTTCAGAAATAGCGCCAATAAGTGGGATCACTGGAGATTGATCTTTCAAATTGGGCATTTTGAAATGTTCACAACACTTGAGTTTTTTATAAAATAAAAATGGATTTATGAAATGAATGGCACAGAATTTAAATTTGCACTGTACTTTGCTTTTATGTTATCACCTAAGCAAACAATCGTTATCGCTTATCTTGAATTGTTCATGTTGTTTACCTGGGCTACTTTTAAGCAATACTCATTTTTAATTGCCAGTGAGAGTGTTTAAGTTATTTATGTGATTCTGTGTAAGTCACGATTTAAGTTTTATTAAAAATAATAAGTGTGATCATCATTCAAGAAAAGCACAATGACTGGTAGTAAACACTCTGCAGCATAATTTTTATTGTAATGTGACGTTCAAATTAATTGAATTAGTGTTATTAATGTGGTAATTAATATTTCCTCAGCGACTAAGGTATCAAATTAGTTTTTTATGTAACCAAACAATAAATTATATATTTTTATATGAAAGCTAATGGACATTAAATATTTGCTCAAAGTTGAATTAGGTAGAACAACAACAAAATTAAATTATATATAAAACCTATATTTTACAAGGTAAGCAATGTTTTAATTAACACAAAACAAATTTTGACTATTGTTGGATATAATTTACAGGATGGTCTAAATAAGTACAGTAATTTTAACCAGTAACTCAAAGTGCAGTAACTTTTTACTTTTTATCTAAACCTCATTTATCAACAAAAACTGTCAAATCTTTTATGCCCGCTTCCTTTCTACCGCTTCAAAGTATAGTAGAATGACTGTCATTATCTGATTTCTCCCAATTAATGTTTAGATTTGGTAATTAGTTCGACAGTTGATAAAATCGTAACCATTCGCAAAAGTGCATATTAATTGTGAATTTTGTAATAGTATATTCTGTAACAAGGTCGGAATTAAAATTCGATACCAATAGAAGATTCTGAACACGAACGTATGCGATCGTGAAAAACCACAGGTGTCGGATTTTCATTCCAATTAGAGTAATATACTGTACTTTTTATACGGCCACAGACACAGTATGAATTGAATATAGCAAAATGATACTTTTAACAAAATAAAATATTTAATCTGACTTATGTTAGGCAAATTTTTACTTAAATCATTTGGATATTTTATCAGTTCAGGAGGAGTATTATCAAATTTCATATCAAAATCATTATATTCACCCATTTTTGAATTTAGGTTCGATTCAACAAACTCCGCTTATCTTTATTCAGGTAAATTCAAACTAAATATTATTACTTCCCGTAGAACTGTCAATCATGAAATTCGTGGGTATCTACGATGCGGGCGTGATATTCACAGCCATTAGCCAGTTGCTATTACAGAATGAATATCTGTCAGTAGAGTTAGAATGAAATACGTGTAAAATATATAAAACGCAAGTATTTCAGAATTTTCTTTCAATCTCAAGAGCGAGACTGTTTTCTTTCTGTTATTATAAGTAGTTTAGGAAGCTACATTCAGTAGTGGCCGTGGAAAAAGAGTATTAAGTTTTGAATAATTTTAGGTTATATCAATTATAGTCCACAGTACTGCTTTGCTTGATTACAAAATATTTAAAACTTCGTGAGTGATTTCATTTTTACGAGTCTACCACACTCTTCCTCAGTGAAAATTCACGGAAACGCTGCGTTTTCTACTGCGCTACGCCTAAACATGTCGATTTTACGATGTTATGTAATACAATGACCACATTCTTCTTTTGCAGCACAATTGAAAGATCATTTTATAATAAACACGAAACAAGGTCTAACCGATCGTCGATCGATGAGTCCACCAGCTGCAACATGTCAAAATAACGAGGTTATATTGTCTAATTACCCCCCATAATTCATTTTCGCAGGATTGTTTAATAAATACACCCTCGCACAATCGGTCATAGGGACCGCCAAATTTAAAGCGTCGTTTTTTTCAGTCCGACGACCTGAATATGCCATTTTTACGATGGATGGAATGCTGATTATCATGTTTAAATTTAAATTTTTTAATTTAGAAATGAAGCATAATATACACTAAAATATTTTACCGATAAATTACGATACACGGAGAGCGTACCTATATTTCCCGACAATGACGAAATGTAACGATCTTGAGCTGCCTTTGACGAAGTTGCCTCTGTTGACCGAATAACATTGTAGGGTATGATGGCTGCTGCTTACCACCAATCAAAGCAGGAGTTATTATAGCACACAGAACACTGTATATTAGCAGTATATGTATATGGTGTAATGGCCATTTGAAAATACCCATTGAAAACCGGCCTGAAGACTGTGGTTGGTCTAACCCTCCTAATACGGGTACCTTGGTACCCAAAAGGACTTTGAAGTCGCACATTTTTCAAACCAAAAATGTTACAAATTTGAGGTTCCATGACATCTTACAAATAGTCGTTTTTCTATCGTTCTTCGCATTTTTAGCTTTCTAGAATTGTTTAAAGTCGGCTGTGGAGTCGTTCAAAGTCGACCCTCCTCTTAAGGGTACCGGGGTTCTCGTAAATTTTTTAATACATTTTGTATGAAAATAGGAAATAAAGAAACATTTTTAGTTTGTTTGTTTTTTTTGTGTTATTGATTATTGAGAATTAGAAATTATTTATAACAAATTTTGAAGTATTATTATGGTAAAATAGAAAGAAAAAACTGAAAATGAGCAGCTATGGTGCTATAATTTTGGTGTGCGTGTTGCACATTGGCCGCTTGCAGCCATCACATTTCTTGCGTGTCTTTCGGTCGGATTTGAGATTAACTTTTACGTAAAGGTAGCAACGACCCTTCGATGACAACTGACCAGTTTTATCTCGCTTAGTTATACCCGATGGGCCTGCAGCGTCTTGGCTCAATTTTTTTTTTTTGTAGAGGATTAGTTCAATAGCTGCCTGGACGTTGGTGAATCTGGATATTTAATTATGAGCAAAAGGGACGTTCATGTTTTCCGTCGCCAATTCCACGCCAAATGATGTCAAAAAGCCTCGACGAGAGCTTCGTCCCTTTTTGGCGCCTGGATGGAGGCTGGAATAGACACAAACTGCACCCAACGCAGTCACGTCGTTCATGTTGAAAAAAAAAAAATAGCAAAGGGCCATCTATTTGTTTTACGTTTGGTGGTATATTTAGACACCATTTGGTCCATTAGACCTATTCTGCCTTTGGTTTTGTTGTAAGTCATTTATCTCCTCTTTTCCATTTACTGCTGGCTTCCAACGTGAATAATGCATAGTTGACAGCAAAAAAACGCTTTTCTTCTTCTTTCATTTTCGTTGAATGCATATCGGGGTGTGCCTATATCGTATGTAGGATTAGACTGTAGCTCTCTTGGAATAAAAGCTTTATTTTGTCGAAGGGTAACAACGAGGCTCATTCCTCTAACGTAACTGATTGGCTAACGTGAGTGAAGCAAAAAATTATTTGTTGTCACATTCAGACCAGTTTGTAAAAATCAACCAGAGCTAAAACAATATTTTCTCCAACGTTTACTTGTCGCTGACCACCAGGTGGTTTGTCTGTGTAAATAATTCCAAACAGAGAATAGCCATTGGCTGCCTTATACAACCAAATTATTTTAATTCCATATTTTGCCGGCTTTGATAGAATGTATTGGATAAAACTGGCTCCTCCTCTAAATGGGAATCACTGCTCATCCACTGTAATGTTTTTATCCGGATAATAATTTGTTTGTAGATTTTTAATCAGCATCATATTTCATATATCGGAGATGGATCAAACATACACAGCCCAGCTCATTATCTTCAAATCTCGCTAGGCCTGAACAATAGCAGGCACATGTCTGTCTAATACATAACTCTTTGTTTCCATATAAAATACACCTGGGTACCCTTATCAGGATTCTTTGTATGTAAATTTTATCAGGACGGTTAGGGTTAATAGATGGGTAATGGTTTAACAGGTCTCAAAATCCTTAATCTGATATTGCACATAATCAGTTGATAGGGATGATGAGGAGTGAGGACGATGAAGATAATGAGATGGTAACCTCATATTTTTTTTTATTATTATTATTATTATTTTATGTAATATTAAATTTTACAGTAATACTTATGATTATTGTTGTATAAAAAAGAAAGTTATAACTTTTCGTACAAATAATGTTTCAATTTCATTCATATTTTCAATTGTGTACTATTCATTTTTCCTGTTGTTCCCATTTTTACCGTAACGATCAACACAAAATGTCAAATTATTTACACATAACTTATTTTTCAAAGTCACTACTTATGAGTAACAACTAATACTTAAACATATTGAAATAATTTATAATAAAACTTTCCTATTAATTCACCAAAACATGCACTTTATGAAAGTAACACATAAGTATAGTCAACTTTACTCTTTCAGACTGTCAAAAAGTCAAAAATTCATTATTCTAAAACTTTTCAAGAGCATGTTTTTAAAAATATGCGATTTTGTCGAACTGGCAATGTGGCGCAATATTTTTGTCGCACATTGCAATATTCAGTCTTTAAATACACTCATCTATCATGGGTGATTTTTGTCCGACATGTGGTAATAAGGCTTTTAAAAATTGAATCACTCGACGTTTTAAATATGTGGTAATCATACAAAGCAGGAGTAGACGTACTGTGGACTATTTATGTTGATAATAAGAACTTATTCACAAAAAATTGCCAAAAAAGGAAGCCGAGCTCCTAGGGAATTTTGAGTTGAAACCCATGCAATATTTTTAGGATATTTTAAGGCTATTTTTATTCAAAAATTGTATGCATCTAGTTTTTTTTTTAAATAACCACACCAATTTTTAGGCTTTTGAAATAAAAAAAACTTTACGAAAAAAAAATGGTATATTAAAAAATACGGAATACTTCGAAAGATACTAAGATTTTTTTTAATTCGGTGACATCTGCATCTACTACTAAGGTCATTAGCCTCGTCCTCTATGTAGGCGTTGATAGTGTTTCCGAGCGCCACTTTAGGAACAGCACTGTTAATTAGAACCCAACAGTGAATGGTTGAGTGGGGAATCCTGCCTATGCATTAGGATTAATTTTTAATGCAGAAAATTAATAAAAAATCCAGTCATCGCGCATCGGCGAAATTCGAACCCGGGACCGTTGGATCCAAAATATTGCCACTTTATCTGCTGTATAACCTGGAAAGTGGAAATACGTGCTTCCAGACGTCAACAACGCTAAAAATATCCCTTTGCAAGCATTTTCTGTCGTCCGGTTTTGCTACTTTCAGTGTAGGGATTTCCGCCACGTGACCGCATATTAGAGTTGGGTAGTATTCGGATATTTTATATGTATTCAAAAGCTGTATCCTAACATTTTCTAGTCGTATCCAAATTTGTAAGTATCCAGGTTGCGGATACTTTTTCTGTGAATCATTGCAGTAATATACCTTATCACACCGCCATATTTTGAATAAACGTATCTCAAATCCTATATACCACATTCGTCACTGATCATACATTTGTTTTTATAATTTCTTTTCATAATTTATATATCTATATCTAATGTAGTTTACTGATTAGTAAAAATTGAAATATTTTTTTGTATTTATCTTTTCAATAAGCCTGTATAATTCGAAATTAAATAAGTATTTTTTTAATAATACAATAGTAAAAAAGAATTATTTTATTAGAGGTTGTAGTTTTATGTTGGTACACCCTATAAAATTTAGAATGTCTCGAAAACAAGTATTTTTTTTTTTTTACCAAAAACATTACTGTGAACTAGATCGCCAAGGACTAATTTGATGATTCACCCAGTATACAGACTGTTCGGATTCAGCCTCAAAGGCAGGTTTTTAGAAGAAAAAGCCTGCAAAGTATATTCTTCTTTTTGAGCCACGAAACTTGTGGAACTTTCTAACCCATGCATGTTTTGAGACCACGGTTAAGACAGATACTTTTTTGTATAGTTATTTCCTGTTTGTATTACGTCGCTTTATATTTTGGATATACAGTGCTGACAAGATCAAACCGTCGGTCCCGTTTGCTTGTGTTGGACTGAATAGTAAATGGAGTTAGCATGTGCAGGAGACGAAATGATAAAAACCGGCGCTTGGCTTGAACTATGAATGGCACCATTGATAATGTGTCATTTCTTTTCTTGCATGTGCGAGCGCCATTTAATCTTCACTCTTAACACAAACAAAGAGGGACTGAAGATTTAATCTTGCTAGTACTCTACATGCATGCCTAGTATTTTTTACTCATATTAAATTACTTTGTATTCGTAAATTATCATTGGCATAGAAGCATTATTTTAATTCACTTTAAAAGTATCCTAAAAAGTATTTTTTAAAGTATCCATTTGTGAGACAGTCAAGGGTCAAGTTTTCGTTGTATAATTTCCAATTAGAAATAAGCTTATGGTTTTGAGTGAGAATTTGTTATTATTATTGTAGTCATAATATTTATTTGTGTACAACAATGTAAAAATTAAAAAGAAAACAATAGATATTTAATATATTTTTTAATGTGTTAATAAAAAATGAGGAATGAAATTGAGTCACTAAATAACAAAGTTACTCTTTAGAATGATTAAACAACCAATAAATGTACCAAATTTTAATTAAATGTCTACCATATATCATATTTTTCATTTTAACAGACTCATTTAATAAATTATTCAGTAAATATCTTATTTTTCTCAACATTTGTAATCATTCAACTTTAATATCACTCACAATGTAATAATTTCATACACTGTCTTGACTAATACCTGATAATCAAGCTTGGTACATTAAATGCTGTAAAATCTCATAGGCAAGCTTCTCATGTTTATCATTCCTTTTGTACTGTATAACATTAAATTATTTAGCTGTCAATTTGATTAATTCGTGATATTATCTATTGAATATGAGTTTTTATATCGGTTCTATGGATAATTACAGAAAATAATGCACTTGTATTGTATAATGAATTTTACCCATATTTTTCAGACTTGTGAAATTCATTTTGGAGAACATGTTTCTTGCATTAGTTAATGTGATTTATTGATAGTACTGATATCACATATACAATACATGATTTAAGACTTCATGTTTTCAACTCATAAAAGGTTATTCTAGATGCAGATTCTAAAGATGATATTAAATAAATAAAATATTATGATATATAGAAATCCTAAATTACTATTATTGAAAGCAGTATCAGACATTAAGTCTTATTTAATGTAACAAAATAATTAATTAAATATTTTCGTTTAGTAATACACATACTTCTAAAATTATGTCATATATTTAAAAGAATTGGAATCACTGTAAACTATGTCCACTTTATATGAGCCAATTAAAGTATATATAACCATTTGCGTTTATATAATCTTTGGTAGCATTTTTATTAAAGCACAGTTTTCTAATTAAGTACTTTTATGGGTTCATTAGTCCATTCCACAAACTACCAAATTATAGAATAAAGTAAAATCTGCACAAAGTGGACTTTGTTTTGTTTTCATGTATATAAAAAATATAAGTTTTTGTTTTATTTGTCGTACAAAAGGTTTTTCTATTGACCAACAACATAAAACTAATTAAAAATATTACCCTTATATGATCTTATTGTATTTCTTACTGTAAATGCATATTACAGTTTATCCAAGTGTACTACTAGTACTATATAAAAGGTATTTTTTGTTAGTCTATAATACAAACTGGATAGAATCAAATCACTAAAATAAAATATATATAATTTGTTTAGTAAAGTGACAAAAAAGAATGTGCGACTCAGTAAAAGATTTTATAATCTAATCATTATTAAAAAACATTAATATTTTAAAATAAATTAGCATAATGAATGTATTCATATTGCGAAAGGAAAAATTTTTAAAATGTTTTGCAGACTGTTTATAATTTTTGTATCAAATAAATACACTTGTTTCAAAGAGTAACTGCATAAAGTTCAATCAACTACAAATGTACACTAAAAAATACCCTAGATACCCTTTAGGGTTTGGTATGCCTATAGAAAAATAACCTATTGCTTACTGTTACAGTGCAAATTTAGTATTGTTAATTAAACTACACAAACACCCATTAGTTAAAAGTTCAGCATTTTATAAGCTATTCTTAAGCTTACCCAGGCATAGGGGCAGGGGTCGGCGACATTTTAAGAGTTCTTCAAGCCAATAATAATATTTACGTGGAAACTGAAAAGGAAAGCATTGACAAATTTACCTATTTATAAGAAAACCTTGACTACATCAGACCTGCTTAATTAAAATCGGATCTGGTATTAATTTACCAAATTGTGTCTATTTTTAAAAAGCATGTTTATGTTGATTTTAATACTAAATATTTAACTAATTGTTAAACGTAAGTTTACTAATTAAATCAGCAATATTTTGTATATTTAATTTTAAAAAATCATGCTAGAAACTTACCTAATAATTAAAATATGTACTAAATAAAATTAAAAATTACGAAATTTCACACACCCAATTATTTGTGGTCAGTTCTCAAAGTGTCAATGTCAAACTTTTTGACATATCCCATTCTTAGATGTTCTTTTCAATCTTGTACTTTTGTTATGTGTGTACAAAGAAAGAGATGTAAAACAGATCGAACAGAATAAAGTGATTCAGCTGACCTCTTTGAAATTCGACCAATCGCAACAATTATGCCCATTTTTAGAGAACCAAAACGACAAGAGAGGAAATTGGAAAATGTTGTAATCCCGAAGGCCGTGAGCATAATAGACTGCTCAACAAAAATAATGTAATATTAAATAAAATAAAATTAAAAATTAGTTAGAGCCTGGATTCATGCATATCTAATTGACTCCATTGTGATCCTTGAACTCTGCCAGTGCCGATATACTGATCTCTCTAGGAATTGAATAACCTTGTCAGGTTGTCCGTAAGGACCACGGTTCGTAAAGTGCGCATATGGATCACCATTATTTATTACTGTGCTAAAAGCTAGTCCCAAAATTCGTTGAGGTGTTACTATTATTCAACCGGAAGAACAAAAAAGGGGGTGAAGGGAACAGAGATCGAAGAGAAGTACTACCGCTCCATCTTCTTCATTCTCCTTTCACAATCCACCAACAAGGGAAGCTCCCCTTAAAAAGTATAAAAGAAAATTACCTCCCCTCAGCTAGGACAACCTGGTGGGAAGGGACAACCCACTGAGGTGGTATATTCGCTACCTTGATCAGCTCTTTGACACCAGAGGAAGCGAAAAAGAAAGCTTGTTGAGTACAGATCCCAGGGAAATTAAACCAAATCCAAAGGCCAAATCCTCAGGATAGGAATAGATGACCTATCCTGCCATAGGATCAAAGATAATGAATATTCTATCCATTATCGGTTTTGGAAAATCCCCGTACATGGTTTTCAAAAGAAGGACGATACAAAAGAACCGGAAGGACATGCGGAAACAACTCATGGTACATCCTACGATGAGAGAGCATTGAGAGCCTTAGAGCAAGTCCAGACGAGAGCCACTCGGTGGTGACACTTACTAGCGCCACTTCGTGGCAGGTGAGCGCTTGCCAATGTTAAAATGTAGGAGCTACCCAGACGAACGTCTGAGGCAAGTGGCAGTGGTGAAGAGAATAAGCGGGTTCCCACGACGAAGTAGCGACACTCGGTAGCTGGAATCGTCCACACGTGCCACTTTTGTCAACTGTGTCGTCGGCTTCTACTAACATTGGTAGATATATTTTATTTTGATTGTCGAGGTTCAGTATTGATTAATATGGCGTTGGATTCAGATCGATTTATAGTAATAGCTTCTAGTTACCTCACCAGAGATGGGCCTGTACCACTCCCGGAAGTACAGAGTCTAGTGGAGTACTGCCAAAGAAATTTGCCATTCCTTCTTGGATGCGCCGTCAACGCGCACAGCACCATGGCGAAACAACGACACCATGCAAAGAGAGAATATATTTTTAATTGTGGAAAATATTGGGAATATTCAAATATTTGTAACAAGGACAAGAAGTGAGGTATTAGATATCACATTATAAGTAGTCCGACCATTAAAGGTCTAGTTACAAACTGGAGAGTGTCGAGTAAACCAGCTCTATCTGGTCACAAGATAATTGTGCTTACGTTGGAGAGTGACATTCCTGAGGCGATCCTCCAGAGGAATCCTAGAAAAAACAGACTTGGACAAATACAACACCATTCTAAAACAAAATTTAGCACGTATCCAGACAAAAAAGGGGCCCAGAAGCCCACTTGCTCTGGAAAGCGAAGAACTAAATGAGGCAATACTAAAGGCATATGAATCAAGCTGCCCCATTTAAAGAAATATAATTATTAGGAATGCTATCCTTGGTGAAACCGTCATCTGTTAAACTTACGATTCGAAGTGCGGAAGCTCTGGAATAGGGTCGAGCACAGCGGAGATTGGCATAGCTACATCGAGGCACGTTTAAAACCTACAACAAAGGAAATCAGGACAGCTAAACGTAACAGCTTCAGAAAATTCTGCGATGAAATTAACCATACACCTGCGGCTACAATACTGCACAGAGCCCTGTCAAAAGGGGAGTTGATTCAGTTATGGCTTTAAAGAAACCCATTTGAAGCTTCACGGAGAGTGAGGAAAGAAGAGCTCGGCTCTTATACTCGAAACTCACTTTCCTGGGAGTACATCTTTTCTAATAAGGGACACAACTAAGGTAAGCAGACCCTCAAGAAAGGTTGCTGCAGTGGCCAAACATATATGCAGTAGCAATCGGTTAAAGTGGACCGTAAACACTTTTGAATCGTTTAGGTCTCCAGGTGTGGATGGAATATTTCCTGTCCTGCTTTAGCGAGCACAAGAGGAATTACTGTCACACAAAATCCGGATATCCCGAATCAGTCAGGAACTGGGTGATATATAACGGAATCATGGAGAAGGGCCAGCGTCACCTTTATTCCAAAAGTAGGGAAAATGATTCCATACAACCTAATCCTTTCGACCAATTAGCCTTACATCTTTTGTATTAAAAACAATAAAGAAAAGGCTGTTGATAATTATATCAAAACAGAAGTCCTGGAGATGGTGCCACTCCACCACAGCCAGCAGGAAGATCTACAGAAACCGCCCTGGTATAGCTGACTGACGTAATCCAGGAAGCACTGACAGGCAAAAAGAAAAGGAGCATTTGGCAATAAGCCACACGGATCTGTCAAAAGAGCACTTGCATACAGAGGAATAGATAGCACCACATCCAGATGGATGGCTCAGCTGTTATCTACGAGAACTACAGACACAGATATGGCAGGACAGCATCTCCATGTCCACAATGAGGAGTTCAATCCTCACTAATGTAGATGAGCCTAACTGTAGACGAACTTCTATGCAGATTGACTGACCTTAGCATACCCTGTCAAAAAGAAATACCTGTGTTTGCATCACCGGTGCAATGAGAAACCTGTCCTACGGCCTCAATGGAGGTGATCTTAAACCTGACCCCTCTACATTTAATGATAGAGAATGTGGCAAAAAGGACACGATATAGAATGATCGGGAACGGAGTAATTAGACGAAAGTATATTACAAAGGGTTTACACACTGAGTAGTAGGAGAAAATGAAAGATTTAAACTGTGTATAGGAGTAGTATATTAGCTTCAGGACCAAAGATACTTGGGATATGACACAAGATGAAATGAGGAAGAAGTACAATTTTGTGAAAAACCAGAGCAGAAAGAATGGAGCCAAGAATCCATAGCGCTTGCAACCGAGACATGCTATTCAGCGGTATACGGATGGTTCCAAAACCATAGAAGGAACTGGAATAGGAGTGTATAGGCCTAGAACCAGGCACTCTGAAAGTTTGGGAAACTACCCAAGCATTTTCCAGGCGAAAATTTACGCCATTAAAAAGTGTATCCAGAGAGACACTATCGTAGACAAGAGATTATCATTATGTCCGGTAGCAAAGCAGCATCAAAGCGCTGAGCTCTTATACGTAATCAGCTCAAAAATGGCCTGGAGATGTTTAGAAAAATTGAATGAGCTAGACGAGGAATATACAGTTACTCTCACTTGGGTCCCATGACATAACGGGGTACAAGGTGACGAGATTGTAGATAGTCTCGCAAGGAAATGGGCTCAAACGCCCTTTGTGGGACCTGAGCCGTTCTGCGGTATAAGCAGTAACACAATATTAGGAGAGATTAAAAAAGAATTGGGCAGTAGAAGAACCGATAATTGGAACAATTTCTTGGGACTAAGACACTTCTGGGTGAATATAACCAGAAAAGATCGGTAGCCTGTATCTACCTGAGCAATAACAGGCTACGTATTGTAACAGGGGTCCTTAGGCAATATCCACTCAAAGTACATCTTAGCAAACAGAGTAATAGAAGATGAGCGCGGATTCTGTGACGAGGAGTACAAAACCTCCAGTCACATTCTAAATGTGTAGCACTCCAGAATCCAAGGGCACTATACCTAGGAGCATATCAAATAGAAGAGGGATATTTACGTAACTTGAAGACACTACAAATCCTACACTTCCTTGAGAAGATAGGACTGGAAGGGTTATTATAGGCATCGAGACATTTCTATGCTGCATTAGCGACAGAAGGGGGCACAGTATTAGACCTTTTAGGTCGTAGTGAATTAACTGCCCATTCCCAACATATATAGTAAATTGAGTGAGGATGGTTTGTGAATGAATTAACTTGTACAATACCGTTGCTATACTGCAAAATAAATGGTATACTTTGTTGCTGTTTATACTTATTATAAAAATTTGTATACGAGGATATATCAAAGGCCACGTTCTGTATGCCGCACATAAAAATTAATATTATTTCATTAATACCATCTTTCATAGTACTAAGTAGGAATGGCGATACGAAAAAGTTCAAGTCCATTTTTTTTTAAAAGTACATCATAGTGACACCGAACAAGAGTAACTTTTTTGTGTAAAAACTTCATAGTTTTGTAAACAAAATTGGTCTAGTAATTGGGTGTTACTCTTTCATTGACACTACCATTACACCATTAAAAATTTTGAGTTTTTAAACGTCTATACTTAGCATTACAATTTTATGAAATGTTTCTTACTTTTTCTACAATTTTGAAATCATTGCTGAATACACAAACTCTTGAAAATCAATAGTAGATTTAAAAAATCTTAAAATAGACATTTTCATAATAAAACACAAATGAAGTTGTTCAAAACTTTTATTTGTATTTCTACACAGTCTGAAAAAATACACATATTAACATCGAGACCAAAAATAATTTTTCAATACAAGAAAAAATCATATGTATCCAAAAGTTTTGATACTTCAGTTGTTCAAAGATTTCCCTTGGTAATATTACATTTATTATTCGTGATGTTTTATACAATTCTCAAAATAATCGAAAATTGATGGAATCAAATATTTTGCATTATCCCAAATATAAAAGAGTATAAAAAATTGAACACATAAAACTGTGCGTAAAATTTGATACTGATTCGAATAGTAGAACTTTAAAAAATAAATATTTTGCACTTTGTAGACAAACATATAGAACCAGTTGTAAGAACGTTTTTTAAAAATGTGATATGTCTAAATGCCACCAGCTTCATACTATACTAATACTCTCCCTATAATTCATCCCCTTATGAGTGAACTGAAGCCCTGAAGACCTTGTGCGGGGAGGGATCATTATATTATTTGACGTAGCGCTCCGAGGCGAGTTATGTAAATTATGGTGCCATTTGACTTACAACAGGTGAGGAAAATACTACGCATCATTATCAAAACAGAAACCCACTGCGATTTGTAATTGCATGTCCTACCAAAAAAAAAAATTAAATCACTGCTAAACCACAGTTTATTGCTAAAGAATCAGTTAGCCCACTCAGACCAGTTGAATGTTCCAAAATAACATTCACTCTAGGGATACAAATTTAGGATGTGCAGCAGACTGCTGTTTAAATATAGGCGGTGATCATGTATTGTATTGGTTATGATTTAATTCTGTACGCGCCAAGGATACAAATCCGAGTTGCGCAGTGTATAAACTGGAACATTGAGATCAAAAGTGATGACGCAGAGTGAGCGAACTGATTCTTTAGCTATAAACTGTTCTTGGGTATAGTTTAGCCAAACTATACCCATCAAATGAGACAAAGGAACCATGAAAATTAATTATTACTATAATGGCCAGAAACATTCCTGACGGCACACAGTCTAAACATCAATATTTAACAAACGTTCTTGCAACCGGTATAAAATTCATATTTTAATCAATTATTTTTAGGGACAATAAAGAGGGTAGGCTAAGTCGGTTGTTTGAAACCAAATAAATAAATTATCTATAATAAAATAATGTATACACCGGGGGACTAAAGTGATTTAATACCTCGAGTAGTTGTTTTTCTCGATCTAAGCTTCCTGGAAATAAATTCTACTCCTAGGGTTAAATAAGCCACTTCAATCTCAATATTGTTGTTACTTCTAAAATTGAATAATAAAAATACTTTTGTTTAAGGAAACGTCGTGTAATTGCGAACGAAAATGATAACAAAAATAAAATAACTACAATGACTAGGATATTAATTTTTATAAATAAATATGAATAACTCAGTTATGTTAACGAAAATTAATTAATACGTAAATATTGATCAATGCAGTCGCTTCAAATATTTTTTTTTTCTGAACGAAAACAAACAGAAAAACACAATTTTAAAATACAAAGACTTCTACAAACACAATAAATAAAATACCTAATTTATTTTGTAAGTACGATTCATGCATCAATAAAAAGGATATATAATCTGCTGATCTCACAATACAAATACATTTTAAAATCTAAAAGAAAATAAACTATACAATACACAAAAGTATGGCCTTTAAAAATCGTCTAATTAGAATATTTCCAAGACATTTTTATAATTAATGTTTTCTGCTATTCCAATAATTTAAATAATAAATTTACAAATATATCTTCCCTTGTAAAAAATAAAAATCGACGAAAAATTATGTTTTTGATTTTTAAAGAAACAATAAACAGTTTTCAGTTAAGCTTATTCATTACTCTTAATTTATAATAATTAACATTATAAAAGTTGAGATAGGAGATAATTTTTAAAGGGACCCATTTTCATTTATAATGCTTTCTTTTTTAAATGTAAATAAATATTAAAAAATAGTTTTAAAAAATAAAAAAATGTTTGACCATATTTATGTTGATTAGCAGATTATTGTAAACGGAAAATGGTTATAAAAATTAAATTCGTATCAGTTGCTGGAGCAAATTAGATGGTAGGACTCCCTCTACCTTTTCATATAAATAATATATCGGCATTGACATCCAGCTGACAACAGATTTAGCAAAAATACCCATCAAATCTGGATACTGATGCGTTAATAGTGCCAGAAGTGCAGTAAATGAACATAGTCCTGCAGTGAAAATAATGAAAAATGGCAACTCTTTCTTGGGGTACACTGAGACTTCGTGAAAGGCTGGAAGAAGCTCTCTATCAGCACACTCTGTACAAGTTGGGTAGGGGTAAAATAAATGACCTCTTTCCAAAGGATAAGGTAGCATTCTGTAAATAAAAACAAATCTATATGTTCAGTTGAGTCTGTTTTAAATCAGATTAGATCCTTTTTTGTGAACGTATTTATTTCCCGAAAAATGATATCAATTAAAATCATAAGTCACATAACGGATGATCAACATAGGAAGGAAACATAGAGCTGCAGCTAAAACTCTAGCAACCGTAGCATTCTCAAAGTACAATAGAAAACAAATAGTTTTCGCAGTGTGTAGTTTCAATAAATTGTTTTCTCAGAATACCTCTATGGTAGCACTGAAGGTCAGAGACTCGTAGAAATAATAAAGATAGAACTGTTTATATAATTGCCTGGCTCCGACAATAAGTCACATCCTAAGATAAAATAAAAGAAAATAACATGGTCTCTTACAGACTGTTAACACATTTAGATAAAATGTTTTATTCATCATTAACCGCGATTCAAGCTAAGGGATACGCCCTCTGGAGGAAATTTGTATATAAGGACTTTTTCATTGTTAGTGTTAACAACAGTAGGGAAATTCCGCTACTATACAGTAGTAGCATTTTGTTTCATTATAATTATTACCAAATAAATTTTCTAGAACGGAACAAAAGCAAGGGCGGCCTCAGGAGATTTTTTTTACAATCCATTAGCCTTTTATTAAAAAAAAAATATGCTAAAAAAGGAAAGGCTAATGACAATAACCCTCCCCCCAGGAAAATTCATTATGCAGCCGCCCTTGGACAAAAGTAAAATATTTTTAATTGTTGACGTAGTAATACAAGTATTTTGTGTTGACATTTTGAAGTTTTATTTCTTGTAAAACATTTTATTTGTAAAATGATACTTTTGGAGAATTATACCCTAAGGGTATGGTTCGATATTAACTGACTCTTAACCATAACTAACCATGATTTTTTGGCAGCGGTTCCTGAAAAAAAAAAAAAAAAAAAAACAATTTGTTGGTCACATTTGGATCACGACTGATAGTTGCATCACTTTTATCACAGATTTACGTACGACTTAATGGTAACCGTAAAAATATAATGGTTAGTGAATAAACATTTGAGTCACCATTTTCAGGTAACCGCGTTCCTAATTTAACCGGTTTTTCAGGAATGTCAAGCGGAGTGGTTAGTTTTGGACCGAGTAACCGATATTTCGGTTAATATTGGACCATATCCTAAAAACAGCTCTGGACGTAGGTAAAGATGCTGCAAAAGTTTCGTTATAACTTTGACGCAAAACATTACCAAATGCTTTTGGTTATAAGCTTAAGGGTATGGTACGATATTAACCAAAATATTGGTTACTCGTTCCAAAACACTCCTGAAAAACCGGTTGTGGTTACCTCAAAACGGTGACTCAAATGTCAATTCATCAACAGGTATATGTTTACGGTTACCATTAAGTCGTATGTCAATCTGTGATAAAAGTGATGCAACTCTTGGCAATGGTACAAGTGTAACCAACAAATTAGTTTTTTTTTTTTCAGGAACCACTGTCAAAAATCCTGGTTAGTTTCGGTTAATATCTTAACGATGTGACCTACATTTTCTCACATAACAGATTTTATAATCTAAAATACTATGTTAAAATACTATATTACAAAATTATATTATAGGAAGGTTTAATAAAGTCAAAATATGTCTTGTACAGTAATATATTAATTTGTGATAAAATCAAACATAGCAGCTATTGACTTGACAGCGACGATATATGGCAACTTTGACACCATTCTTCATTAATTCCTGATTTTATAATACTCCCTATTATTTACGGATTCAACTATAGGTATCTCAAACACAATTAGAGATAAACTTGTTCTTATTTATAACACAAAAAAGGTATCATTATATTTTAATTTTGTAAGTTATTCATAGGATTTCTTGAAGACGTATTTAATTTGGACTATTGAAAATCTCAGAATGCTCGTTACGTATTGAAATAATATTTAGATTTCTACTAAAAATGTATACAAAAAAAATCAATTTTATTAAATTTCAGAGGTACAGTGTGGACTTTTCATCTCCCAAAAGGGTCAAACAAAACTTTGAGCGATTTCTAAATAATATCATGTACATTATTTTAAGCACTGAAGAAAAAAAAGAAGAGATTACAAAAACTGTGTAATATAGATTAATAATTTGAATAAAATACTGTTCAATTTGATTTGATATTTATTCTCAATTTCCATTTTAACGAAACGTCCATGTTTATTTTCTGACGGAAGCAGTTGTATTCCCTCCCTCGTACCTCTGCCCTCTTTTTATTTACCCTTATGACCCCTTGCCAACATTTATGATGGAACGCATAAAAATCAGATTTTTGAACGAGTTGTAGAAGACGTTGTCAAAGATTTTTATCTCCTCTAGTTCAAAGTGCTGAACATTACTTTCCTTTCTATATTAGGTGAGTTCGGGCTACACACTCTTTTCACTATATTCACTCCTAAAGTACCTAAGGCGTTCGGGAACGGAAGGAGTTAAAATAAAAGTTCCTTTTTGACCGTTCGGAGATCGTGGAGTGGAGTGTGGATCGAGCATGCGCATAAGGTGATTTAAATCGATAAGATAATTGTGACTAATTCATAAGTACAAATACTTTTTATTTGGTTACCGTGCATACTATTAATATGGAAGAAACTTTATATGGTTGTTACTGATAAGTAGGATTAGGTTTTAAGTATAAGTATGTCACATTGACAACTGACATTGAACTCTGAGAGTAAAAGGAGTAAAACCATATGCGCACTCCGTTTACGCATACTTACTCCACTCTGGAGTGCGCAGCCCGAACTCACCTATTGTTCATATATTTTGTCATGGAGACTACACAAGGAGCACGCACTCCATGTATAACAAGCGTACTGTGTTAAACAGAGTATTTTAAGAGGGCGCTAGTGTTCCATAAGTACCAAAATGGCATAAGAGAATGAGGCGGTAGTTTGAAATAAAATAAATAATTCTAATTAATTATTAATTAATTAATTATAACTCTAATTATATTTATTTAATTTAAAAACATTTGACACGTGTTTACGTTAATTAAATAATCGGTTACTTTATTTTCACGCTAACTTCACATTTGTTTATTCCTCTATATTCACACCGGTACAAAAGAAAAATTAGCGACGCTAGTGGTGAAAAAAGAAAGCTTTATTTATGCGATAAAGCGCGGACATACTCAGGCAAATGCCACACTTGAGTGCCTGCTCCTTGTGTAGTCTCCATGTATTTTGTAATCTAGTCAACAAAAAACAAATGCTAAAAAGCAATAGTCTAGTCGATGACAATATAAATGTATCGCAAAATGCAAAAAACAAAAAATTGGAAGAAAAAATTACGATATTTTGTTGACTAAAATTGAAAAAAAAAAAAAATTGAAAATATTTTGAAAAGTTACAATTTTCATTAAAAAATGCTGAAAATAATTTTTATGATTAAAAAGTTAATAAAAAAAATATTTTTCATGAAAACTACAGCGGCGTAAAAGTGCCACATTTAATTTTTTTCTGAAATTCCACTTTTAATTATTAAATTCCATGTTCAAACAGGGAAATCTAAAATTCTGTTTTTGAATAGTTTTAAATGGCACCACCATTTTCTGATAGTACCACTTAAGTGTATTTTTTTGCATACAGGGTGTTTATTAATTAAGTGCCGATATTTAAGGGTGTGAATCATCGGGCGATTTTAAAAAGAAACGTTAATGTCAAGGGAACATTTCTTGACATAAAATTTTTACCAGTGACGTCCGTACGGGGTTTGAACTGAATATTTTTGAAGAAAAAATGGCATGTCATTGCTTTTTCTAAAAACCAAAGTTATTTTTGAAATCCTCATTTATTTTGGAGCAAATTTGGTTCACAGACTTACTTTCATACAATGCACCGTTTTCACGTAAAAAAATAAAAAAAAAATTTCTTTGAAACTGCTTTTGATAGTTTGTTGAAATTTTGTAGGCGCCCACCATGCGTGGAAACACTTTTTTTGAAACAAAAATTAATTTTCTACTTCCACCAGTGACGTCCACGTAGGTAATATTGAATGTTTGGATAGAAAAAAACTGTAGGTAAATTATTTACAGTTACTGTTGGAACAGGCCTCCACCCACACGTATGCAAGCATCTACTCTTCTTCACTTACTGACTAACATTTTCAAAGATTCTTAGGATGTTTCTTATGGTTTCGTAGCACACTATTATACGATTTCGTAACTCTTATTCGGTTTGAATTGGCACTGCATGTCCCCAGAAAAAGTAGTCTACACTATTAAAGTTGGGAAATCTGGGCAAACATGATTGCGTTCGTCTGCGACCTATACACCGATTGCGATAGGGGTGATTTAAAAATTCACGCACTCGTAAGCTAAAATTTGGAGACGCATCATCGTGCATTAGCCACATCTGGCTTCTTGATAAAAGGTCTTCAAGCATTGGTGGCAGATCTTCGTCAAGAAACTGTAAATAGGATTCTCCATCAAGTTTTCTTGGGAGAAAAAATGGGTCTATAAAATAATCATCAACAATGCCAGCCCAAATATTTAATGAGAAATGTTCTTGAGATTTGATTCAACAATTGCATAAGAGTTTTCATCCGTCCATAAATGGTTATTACGGAAATTTATTATTGAGTTTCGAGAAAAATTAGCTTCATCGGTAAAAAGAATGTGCCTTTTAAATAACAGATTTTCCAGCAGTTTTCAAATAATTCACAGAAATTAATGCGCAATCGAAAATCTCTAGGGAGTAATGCCTGGACTCTTTGAATGTGAAGGATATAACAAATTTTCCATGAGAATTTTCCAAACATGTGAAACATTAGATGTTGCCGCGATTTTTCTCATGCTAGTTTCGAGGTTCTCCTCAATTTCTTATAAAATTCCTTCTTCAAGTTCCGGTGTTCTTACTGTTTGATGGACTCCTTTAGCCCTGTGGTCTACTTTGAAAGTGCTGGTCGCGTGAAGACGTCTATGAATCCTAGAAAATGTTCTCGTATTGGGTAGTACGCGATTTGAATACCGCTGTTGGTATATCCGCCTGGCTTTGCGTCTGCAAGCACATAAGTAAAATGCATGACAGCTAATTCGTAAAATTGGCCATTTTTTTATCAGATTTTACCTCTTACTCTAATAATATTTAATAATGTAAAATCAATGTCAACTTTATTGTCTTTGCGAAAAGAAACATAAAAAATTATGACGCTTTACCCAGCCTACTAATTTTTATTTAATTTGCTTTAAGAGGGCATTTAATATGCTTTGTGAAAGTTGAAAATTAATTTTTGTCCCAAAAAAAAGGTCCCAAAAATAAAGGTGGGGCCATTTAAAAAAACTGGTGATAACGTCAAAAAAATTGATGTCATTATAAAAAATATATATATGTACACCAAAATATGCACACCTAAAAAACATTGAACTTGCCAAAAAATGGGCCTTGAAATGGAAAGAAATAAAGGACAAAATAATATGTCCGTTATGTATGAGAACCAAAGTGCAAACGTTTCCAAATCAACAATTTTTTTATGCCCACTCCCCCTTTCGGCCTCCAAGAGTATGTTAAAAGTTAATTCAAGATAAAATCGTTCTAGTAGGGTATTTGGGACTAAAATCTGAGGATTTTCAGAGGATCCGTATTTATCTCTAAGTACTTCAAGTCCACCAAGAGTAACCTGTAAATATGCCATTAACCCCTTCCGCTCCAGACTGGTTTTTGAGGTATAGGGCTGTATACCAGTAAAAAGAAATTGTGAAAAATTAATTTTCAGAGTTATAATGTAGAATAAAATAAATATTTATACAGGGTGTCCCATTAGTGCGTAATTGTTCAATATTTCAATCTGTGTTATAGACACGCAAATAAGTTTCAAATATGGACTTGAAAAATACATATTTTAAAAATATTTTTGTATATACAGGGTGTTGCGTTTTTGCCTGGCAAATAGAGCACCCTGTATTTTATTTTTAGAATGGTTTGGCAATACTGTATTCAACCCTAGAATGTTTTTAAAAAATATTACATTTTTGCCAAGCAATTAATTTTATTTTGAAATTAGAGAATAGTGCAGACCCCAAATTAAATTATTATAATTTAGGTAGGTTTGCATTGATTTCCAGATTGTTTAATATACAGACTTATAAGATACTAATCTAACGAATAGAGATGATAGAACTGGTTTATTTTATACAGAGTGTTTTGAAACAAGTCTTAAATATGGCTAATTTTAAGTTCAATTTACTAAATTTTTTTCAAATGCAACACCATGTATATTATCTTAGCATAAAATGCCTTATAAATTTGCCTATGCAACGACACCTATATGTTAGCCAATAAACACATACACAGGGTGTCCCATCAGTGCGTTATTGATCGAGAGCTGTTGCTTGGCAAACCTGAAATATTTTTTAAAAAAATTCTAGAGTTAAGTATATACAGTATTACCAAACCATTCTAAAACTTAAATAAAATACAGAATGTTATATTTAAAAAATATACATTTTTATTTGCAGGCAAAAACGCAATACCCTGTATATCCAAAAATATTGTTTGTGTTTTAATAACACAAACTGAAATATTGAACAATTACGCACTAATGGGACATCCTGTATATGTCGACTAAATAAAAGTTTTAAACAATTTAAATTTATATAACAATTTAATATGTTTACCAGAATATCAACATCTGGATATATGGATATACCAAAATATCAACATCTAAATTGTTTATACACAATGGTTTCTAACAATTTATTTAAAAAAACTAATTGTGTGTATGAAAACAAGAATTGTCTGCTTAATCGAGAATTAATTGATTTCTTGGTGGACTGTAAATTATTTTCGATTGAATATTTTCATGAAATAATACTGACATGTGAATGTTTCGAACGTTTTATTAAGACTCGTACACTAATACAAAACTGAATTTTGAAGTCAATACAAATGAAGGGTGCATGGGAAAAACAGGCTAAGTCAACAACGCTACCTATTGACAAATCTACATACTTTTCGATACACGTTAATGTACAGGACACAAACAGGTTATGTCAGGCTAAATAAACTATTTTAACTTACTCATAAGCAGGCATAACATGCTAAGTTAGAGCGCTAATGGGGAAAACAAGCTAGGTCTCAAATCGCTTGGTCAGAGTTCAGCTGTTATGATTACAGTTTTGTTCATATTATGTCGTCCGTCATTTGTTGTCAACTAATTTTGTTAAAAATATTTATAATAATGCATAGTGAAAATAATACTGAAAGTGCTGGTAATACTAAAGGTGGCAGTGTGAAAATTAAAACAAAAAAAAAGGCCAATACTTGGAAGAATAAGAGACCCAAGCAAAAAATTGCGCTTGCAAAGCCACGAATATCTGCAGAAAAATGTTCAAACCTCCAATGCCACAAACGTTTTTGTGGTCCAACTGCATTGATTTTTTTTTCTAATCTTCCATAAGTTTTATTTTTAAACTGTCATAGTTTTATATTATATTTTTTTAGTTTAAGTTTTGTAATTATTACTTACTGTTTTACAAAATAAACATCACCAAAAAAATAATCTAATAAAGAAACAGGTGAAAAACAGGCTAAGTCATAATTTTATTTTTTTGGAGACTTCAAACTTTCACAATTCACTACTTATCAGTTTTTTAAGTAATTAAAAATTAAATTACTGTAAAATATAATACGCAATAAAAAAATATGTAGCAATATAAGTCTAATACGGTGATAACTCACACACCAACTTAGCTTGTTTTTCCCATGTACCCTTCAAATACTAAAAAACAGACAATCATTGCCGTTGCATTATCACCACTATTATAGTCGACAGTGACATTCAGCTGTTTACATTAGCCCAGGATTTTTTTGAAAAAAATATTATTTACTATTAATATGCCTGTATGGATATCCGTGTCCTACAGCAATCTAAATGAATCTAGCAAGCTATACACTGCTATTACACAGTGCCTCACTATCCTATACATGAATATCCATATGTGAATACTGTGGTAAATTCTGATATACTTAAAAATATCCATATGTGGATACGATGGAGGGGAAGGGATTAAAAGATATAGCTCAAAATATGTGACTCTTCTATGCTGCCATTGAAAACTATGTTAAAAACAGAAAATATTAATAACAAAAATAATGAATTATCACCTGAATGTTCCTTCCCAAGTACAATGCAAAAGATTTAGTGCCCCTTCTACTGCTTTCCAATGGGATAAATGGAAAAAAGCATAGGCTAAAGCTTCAGAATCACCCCTTTTCAACACATGCTCTGGAGGTAATATTAATGGTTTCATCTCAAGAAGATATTTAGGAACATGTGGATTGAATTCTACTGCTCTGTGTATGGCTTCTACAGCAGCCATCTCTGCTGTGTTTAACCCTCTTTTACTAGCAACATCTGGCGAAAATTTATCAGCAACAATTCGAGCTTTCAGCAGGGCAGCTGTGTAGCAAATGGTTGCTGATTTTGGTAAAGATATGTCATCATATCTGCCTAAAACCGCTTGGACATCTGCATATGCTTGCATTTCTAGTAACGCTTCTATAAGATTTTCATGTATGTTAAGTACATTCATAATTGGTGGCACTTCCTTTGTTAAATCACGAAACATTTTTACAGCCTCTTTAAGCTTTCCTAATTTTCTAGCACACATAGCTAGTCTTCTTTTTATATAAATTAACACATTGGTATCGCGCCGGTGCTGAGCTTCCATTAAACTCCCCTGGTGCTGAAAACAAAGAAATATCAATTAAAATATTACAATTTATTTTACAGAGCAGAAAAAATATACTTAAGTATAGAAATTAAATAAGAAGTAAGTTGTTACAGATAAAACTCTGGTTGGACATTTTATTAAAAATATAAGATTAAGTATCCAGTTTTATTTGTAAATAGAAAAAAAAAATATCTGCTACTGAATTATCCACTCCCCAGTCCGCACTTTTCTACTTTATGGTTTCAACTGAAATAAAATAATTTTTATTGGGATATCCTTTATAAACCAATAATAATTTAACAACTTGAAATATAACTTTTATTTTGTTTAAATGTTACAGCTATAAAAAATGGATATTGAAGTTTTAAGTTAATTTAGATTAACTGCTCTTATTAGGTACATACCTGTAATGCTTGAGATTTTCTGTAGTTAGCTTCAGCAACTTTAAGAGCTTGTTTCAATATTTTTTCAGCTTCTGTTATTGTTGTTGCTTCCTCCTCAGCAAGCAATATATATGCAGGTGCACATTCTGAATTCTTTTCAAGTGCATTATGGGCTGCTTTTAAACGCACTGTAGGATTTCTTTCTCGCCAAGCAGTCTGCATAATTTCATATTCTGCCTTACCTACATCAGCTTCACAAGTAAAAAAAGTTTGATGGTCTTGAGCTGATAAGTTCATATCATAATAAGTTAGAGGTTCTTTATTAGTGGCCCAGTAAAAGCGTTGGTATTCGGCTCCACGATACAAATTTAAAGGATTTCTCCACACTTTACATTCTGGTACCTGTGGCTGGATATTTGCACCATTTACATTATTTGTATTACTAGTTTCTCCATAGTCGCCACTTATCCAAGGACTGATGTGGTTTATAGAAACTTGTTCGATAAAAGAAGTTCCATATTTTCGAAAATACCACCATTCAAATATCAATATGAGACCGGAGATCAGAGATGAAGTGCCTGTCAATGCTACATAAAATTTAGGTGTTAAAGTACTCAAAAACATTGTGGAATCCCACATGTTGGATCTGAGTTTCTATTTACTCGTTTACAACGTTATCATTCATAAATGTTTTATAATTTTGAGTTTTATGCAAACAAAATACGGAACTTTCCAAATCAATTTATTTTCATAAATTGACAAGTGAAAAGTGAAGTGAAAAGTGAAACTTGAACGTCAGCCGTCAAGCGAATGTCAGATTCTCCATTCTTCAGTTTAAAAAATCGTAATAGACAGGCTCACAAAAACGTAAAAGATTTCAGTAAAAGGTAATAAATGTCATTAAAAGATACGAGGGGCTATTTTCATTTCTCTCAAGATTCTCATCAGAAATGTCATACGTCAATGTGGAAACGCTGTTTTTAAAGGCATCGAGGATTAAAATTCTTAGGAGAATTTTAATTATCTCTAAATAAAACGTGAGAAACAGTCAGTGAGTTCACACTGGTCCTAAGAGCCCTATGGGAGCAGCCATTTTTATTTTATTGCCCATCTCACTCGGGACTATGTTAGGCCGAATTTTAAAAGTAACGAAGCAAGTTCGTATGATGGAAAACTGTTAAATTAGAACATAACAGACGGAAAATAACAGTAATGTGTTGGAAAAAGTTTTTCATCACACGAACTTGCCTCGTTACTGTTAAAACTCGGCCTAACATGTACGTTACAGATAACGTAAACGTTCAATCATATGACCGAATAACAATGTGAAATAGGAAATGGTTATTATAAATACTCCCGAGTGAGATGAAAAATAACCTGTCTGCGCCCATAGAGTCGCAGCTCAAGCCTACTGAAAAGCATTCTACCCCACTCCAGTTCATTGGTGTATTGTGAATAGTTTCGTTTTCTCAGAGTATCTCTGTGGTGGAACTAAAGCAACAATTCTGAGCAGATTAAACAACAAAACGCGTTTTATAAAATGGGATATTTATTTCGTGGGAATTTGATAAAGTAAAAATAGTCCACATCACTAGTTAGGTTATGTCAAAACAACGTCATCTGAAAAATCCACATAAGCTTTTCCATGTAGACCCCAAGTTTTTCAAGTTAGTCGGTGTAAAAACTATGATTCTTAAGGGAATTTAGATAATATTTCAATTCCGATAAAATTATTTTAACACTTTACTATAGGAAAATGAAGACGTGTTTGGTATTTATTCTAATTTTAGAGCTAGTGCAATATAGTATAGCCACAGAATTAACTTTTGAATTGCCAGATAGTGCCAAAGAATGTTTCCACGAAGAAATACAAAAGAACACAAGCTGTACTTTAGAGTATCAAGTAAGACCAAAATATTAAGGAACTTTCAGGCTTTTATGAGTTGTGGTTTTTAGGTAGTAACTGGAGGCCAGTATGATGTAGATGTAACTCTAGAGGATCCTAAGTCAAATGTTTTGTACAAACAAGTTAGAATGCAATTTGATTCACATAATTTTGTAGCACAAGAACATGGGGTATATAAAGTGTGCTTCAGTAATGAATTTTCTACTTTTTCACATAAACTTGTATATATGGACTTCCAAGTAGGAGATGAGCAACCATTGCCTGGCGTTGGTGAACATGCTACTGTCCTAACACAGGTAATTATGTTTCATATCTTATGACTTTTAAATCTGGTTTTCATAAATATATTGTCAACACTTTACTATTAATTAAATTTTATAGTATTGATACTTCAAAAATATTGGATGTATCCATTATCTAGAGTACCTCTTTTTAAATTTAAAATATTTTTTGGGAAAAACCCATTGTGTGAACTGTGAATATTTCAACTTGTAAATTATCATAATAAGATAATATATGCTTGAAGATATGCTTATATTTTGCATTTGTGTTATTATACTATATATGTTAATTATAAGTATGTAATATTTTAATATTTACTGTCTTTTAAAATATAATTTTTGTTTAAGATGGAGTCTTCTGCCCAAGATATCCATAAATCTTTAAGTTCAATATTGGACTATCAGACTCACCATCGTTTAAGGGAAGCTCAGGGTAGAAAACGAGCTGAAGAACTAAATGAAAGAGTGTTATGGTGGTCGATTATGGAAACTTTGGCAGTTATAACTATTGCATTTGCACAAGTTTTTGTACTAAAGAACTTTTTCACAGATAAAAAACCCAACACACAATTTAAATAAAACTGATCTGATTCGAGTGTAAACTCTTTCCTTTTTAATACATTATTACAAAATGCATTTTAGAACATTTTAAATTGAATACAAGTACCGGTTATTTTAATTACAATTTTTGTTGAGTAATTATAATTTATTTGTAATTAAAAATGTATTAAAGATGAATGAGCAATTGTATGGAACATTTTCATAATGAAAAGGTAAATTTAAAATTTACTTTCTGGTTGTAAATATAATAGGGGCTGATTTTTGTTTAACGAAATATTTGGATAGTTTTCATTTCATGTATTAGCATGTACATTTGTCATTCCATACTGTTATTCTGTTTTTGATTAAATTGAATGTAAAGAAAATTTATACTACTTAAAATAAATATAAACAATCTCTTATTGTTTTTATTAGAAATCTTTTTTTTCTTTCAATGGAATTTAAAAATTCAAGTTTATAGTTTTCCTACATAACTCAAACAGTTCTGGATTAGTCCAGTGTTTGAAGGTAAAAATAGGCTATTACCTTTAAATTATTTGTATAAAAATTTAAATTTATTTTATCCTGCTTCTCTAAAACTTATATGTTGGTGATTAAGTCCTTTTAATTTTTAGGGATTGAAATATACCCTTTGACAAAAACTATATATTTCAGCTTTGCTTAGTATAATATGTTCAAATATAAACAAAATATATATTTTATAATATTGAACACATTTTATGAACTATTGTAATGTTTCATCCCTTAAAAAAGCACCCCTTATGAAATTGGCAAAAAAAATAGTTTTCAACAGATTAAAATTTTTTAATGGGTTCCCTCACTTTTCAATTATTTCTGATTTATTGCAACGTTAGAAGCTTCAGAAACCATCCCTATTAAAAAAAAAATAATAGAATAGTACATAATTACAAAGAACAAGAATTGAAACAAAAAAAAATGAGAAATCCAAACAAAAACAGGTTATTGCTTAGCTAAAAATACTTTTTATTCTCATGTCTAATATTAAAATTATGAACAGATGTTTTGAAAATTAATTTCTCAAATAAATAGGCATTTAATAGTCTATGCAAAAATATTAAAAGATTGTCAACTTCGCGCCAAAAATGAATCTGCAAAAAGCATTTTGTATAAGCTGTAATTGGCTCTGTCACAATTTGTCCAGGCACGGATAGTAAACAATATTGCAATAACTTAATATTGATAAAACTAAATGTTCACAAAGTTTTTTCTCATTTTAAAGTTCAATATATGCCTATTAATGTAAAGCAACCGCAATTTTGAGTAGCATCTCTTGATCAAGGTCTTAATATGACTCTTAAATCTAAGAGACTGATCAATAAGTAGACCCAAATTTTTTGATTCGTTATTTAAAGTTATACTAACATCATCCATATTACAAAATATAAAATAAAATTTCAGGTCTTATCTCTCACTCTCAGAAAGCACCCTTGTGGTTAAAATGAACTCATGTTTCCTTACAATTAAACCCTGAAAGTATTACATGAGTAAATAGGGAAAATAAAATTCACTATAAACATCTTTCTTTTGGTCTCGAATTGGGAGCCAATTTTTTCTATTAAGACTATTAACAATTATTCAGAAATGAAATATCACGTTTATTCAAATTGATAGTACTGATCATTTATACCAGAGGTTCCCAAACTCTTTTGTTTCATAGACCACTTTCAAAATTTTGCTGGATCCGGTGGATCCTGTAGCTACATCACTACCAATTTCTAAAAAAAAGTGAAGATTGGATCTATGGAAACTTGCGTTGTGGCTGAGTTTTAACGACGAAAAAAAGGTTAGAATTGATTGCTTGATATGGTTAATTATTTGTTAATAAAGTCGACTAAACAAATTTTAATTGATTGTGCTGTGAGTGGATGTCAAAAAAGCAAAGTTGGCCAAACGAAAAAGTGACTCCATCCAACTTTACTTTTTTGAAATCTACAGTGACTCACAGCTAGGGTTGCCATTCGTCCCGATATATCGGGACTGTCACCGTTATTCACCTTCATGTCCCGCCTAGACGGCAAAAAATTCCGATTCTGAAGAATGCGAGAATTTAGATAAAAATCTGAACTTCTCAAAATGTGTCAATATTTTTTATACTAAATTATTCTTTCGAGACGAGAGGAACCAATTGGTGGTAGAAACTATTGGCCATTTTACAATGCCAATACATATAACTTTATACTGACATGCGCGGAATTTTATAAATACATTAAAAATCAAAAAGAAGTTTTAAGACGAGCAAAATCTTCTGAAAAATATTATTAAAAGTCAAATTCGAGTACTTCTTAATTATGTTAGTGTAGATATTAATATCATTTATATGTATATTATAATAATAAGTTATGTGTATGTATTTTTCATGCATTAATCGGTTTTTTTTCTTACAAATTTAAATTTCTCAAAAACTTATTTTTAAGTTTAAAAATGGTTTATGTTCCGATAGAAGCTGGAGAAATTATGGCAACCCTACTCACAGCACAAAAACCAATCAATTCTCACAAATTTTATTTAGAAAACGTCCCATTCGGAATGGTAAAAAGAAATATAGTATATTTTCTTGTGTTGTAGGTATTTATTTAAATTTAAATATATAAATTATTACACTATTATTTATTATTGTTATAACCGTCGTAATATAATTAAAATTAAACACTTATAACGTAATGTAATTTCTATAATGGTAATTACAAAAAAAATATAATTTTAATGAGAGGGATGTACTTGATGGATTGACAGCAAATTATCAATATTTGGCTTGAGTTTTGTAAAGAATAACCGTAAATCTCTCCTTTCTGTGATATTATGCTCCTTTTTTTTGTTAATAAGTTTGTAACGGCACTAAAACTTTTTTCGACGAGATATGACGAGGGAAACGCTTCAGAAGCTTTGGCACAATTCCCCACAGTCCAGAATATTTTTCGGGTATTTCTGCCTGCAGCCAAAATTTTTGATACCCTCTCTTAAATGTCACTTTCAGCTCCTCATTAGTGCTAAGCTCGAGTAGCTCCTCTTATTGTAATATCACATTCGTGGTATTTCCATCGACAGAATATCTTTAAATCTGAATTTAAAATCATCATGCTGGGCAATCAAATGTTGAACGTATGTCTGCATATCTTCATCAAGGCATTCTACCTGCGACAAGTTTGAAAACTGAAAATTCGCGCCGACCAATATATTTTCCTTCATAAATTTCAATTTACCAAGAAAAGCTGAAATTACACTCTTTGTTTTTATTAAATTGGGGCTGTCCCCTTGTAATTGTAAGTTGAGGTCATTAAATTTTTTGAACAAATTGTCAAATACGTGATGTCTGCTTTAAAATTGATCAAGTTTTTTTTTTAAATCAGGATCTTTACTTTCCAAAAACTCTAAAACTGAGTCAAAAAGTAAATAAAATCTTGATAAACATGCACCTTTCGACAACCAGCGTACTTCGATATGTAACAGCAATCGTTGGAAGTCTTCATCATTTTCATCGCACAATTGTGCAAATAAACGCGTATTCAATGCATTGCTTCTTATTTTGTTAACTGCATTAATCACAAATTAAAGCGATTGGTGCAATCTATCACTCAAATTTTTCGCTACTAGATGTCGGTGGATAACACAGTGAATCGCAATTACCTCTGGTATAATTCTTTTAAGATGGCTTATAAACCCACAATATCGCCCGACCATGGCAGGAGCTCCATCGATTTTTCTTTAAAAAAAATACGGTGGCATTCGGGGACTGCCGCGGTAAAGCTATTGCATAGCATTTTTATCAATTTATGCAATTATAATTATTTTTTTATTCTATTTATGCAGTATTTTGTTTCTTTGATATTAATTCAAGTTTTTTCTTTGATATTAATTCAAGTTACACTTTTTGAGCGTGGTGACCGATAAGAAAACATTATTTTTTCTTTTATTGAATAAATAAGAAGTTAATATTGTTTAACACGTTGAGAGCCACACTGAAAACAGTATATGCACCCTGAGGACCGCACCTAACTGCGAATGAAGCGGATCTGGGACCACTCAGCTTGCCTTCAACATCTAGGCGCAGACATACGTTAGTGCAAGCTGAAGGACCAAGAAAGTTGTCACGTAAAAGATGTGACATTTGTTATAAAACTATGAGCAGGGAACATGGGGCACCATATGCAAGAAAAAATGCAAAGAAAATGAACACAATCTGCGATGTATGCCAACTTCCAATGTGTTTGAAGTGTTTCCAAAAAAAAAACATTGCTAAATTTATTGACTCATGAATTTTTCAGCTTAGTATTAGGTTCTATTTTTGAATATTTTATTTTTTTATGATTTTTTAGTTTATCTAATAATGTCCTTTTAGTTTATCTAACATTGTCATTTTAGTTTGCAAATAAATGCGTTATTTTCTAATATATCAAGTATTTATTTTATTTGACACAATTTTCTCCCTAAGTATATCGCACTATGTTCCCTGTGGCCCACAGATTACGAGCATCCATGTAAAACTCATAGAACGAGTGCTCCCAGGCGGGCATGCGGCGCTGAATAAGAAAACACATAATGTCCACCGGCGGGCACTCGGTCCCAGGAGTGTATAACCAATTATTTGTCCGCCGATGGGCACTCAGCGCTCAACGTGTTAAAATATTTTTATTATCTTACAATACATGTAGGTTATTCAGGAATTTTTATCATTGAAACTATAAAGTTTATGGTAACTGAAATAAGAAACATAAATTTGAGACTTGATATCCTCTAAATATCTGGAAAATACCGCGTCAATGGTGGTCCCATATTTTGTTGTGGATTCTTGTGGATCATTATTCATTTTCAAATTCATTTTTTCCGAAATTGTGTCTAAAAGAGATAAAAATCAGTTATGAGCTAGTCTACACGCATACGTCTAGTCGCACGCACACAAACACCGTGCCGAAGTCTGCCGAACTGAAACGACATTAGACGATGCACGGCTTTCAACGCCGCCCGCTGTGCCGGTCGGAGTGGGGGGGGAGGGTGTTAGGTTTATTTTCGTTACGGAGTTTCTTTTTCGATTTTACTATTTTTTGATTTTTCGATCGATTTTCCGGTTTTTCAATTTTTCGAGGAGTTAGGTTTATTTTCGTTACGGAATTTCTTGATTCGGTCGCCGTGCTCAAAGCCCGCGATAAAATCTGTGCAATAGCTTAATAATGAAATAGTTAATACTGATAAAATAAAAATTAATATTTTTTCTACACCCGTATTATAATAATGCACTTATATGCACATAATCCGTTTCATAATGATACCCATTATGATACAGATTTTTAATCAATAGAAACCTACAATTTTTCAATCAAGCATGCTGTTTGACGTTTGTCCTAGGTTCCTATGTAATTGTTTTAGTTGTCAAAACGTAT